TGAATATTTCCACTCTTGACTGTTGTATTACCAATGTCTTCTGGTAATGCCAACCCAAACTTCTGTCTCTCTCTTCTTTGGATCTGATGGTAATCAAACAGTCTCTTAATCTGTTCTTCTCTTTCTTCCCCCCTCTTCCCAATCTAAAGGCCCTCACAATTTTAAATTCCTCTTGTTCCAAATCCAGCTCCCAAAATTCTGCAAGTTCCTGCGTGAGAAAGTCTATCAAACTGTCCTTCTCCAGTTCAGGTACAGCTCTGATCCTCAAATTTGTCTGGTTCTCCTTCAGCTCAATCATAGAAAGTGTCAGCTTATGGTCATGAAGTTGCCTCTGCAGGTCTGGAACTCTCTCTGTTTCTAATTGTGTCACCTTAAATTCCACCGAAGTAACTTTTTCCTTAACTTCCTCTGCAGTCTGTCGTGTCGAATTAGATTCCTGTATCAGTTTCTCAATAGTTTCTGTGTTAGCATTCACCTTTTGTCCCAGACTATTTATGCTTTCTGTATTTGCATCAATTTTAGTAACTGCAGCATCCACTTTTGCATTTGTGGCATCCACTTTTGCATTTGTAGCATCCACTTTTGCATTTGTAGTATCTACTTTCTTGTTAAGTTGTTCCAATAATTCATTTATCTTACTTAATGTAAGTGCTAGGGTTTCTTCTGATGACATTCCTCTTGATTTAGGTTGTGTTGGTACAGCCACAGATGAGGCAGAGGGGCCGGATGTTGATGCTCTTCGTTGCCAAGGCTTCCCAGACCTTGTTGTTTTGTCTGGGAATGATGGATCTACTTTTTCTTTCCCATCTGCCATAACACTTTTTTTTTTAAGCAAAAAAAAAACCCCAAGGTCAGTCCCACAGTCACACAGCTTTATCTTGACATTGGAAAATTCCCCTGAACCAACTCTTGTAACAGTTTCAAAAACTTCCTCTAGGGGGAAACAGTTGATATCTGTTCTTGCATTAATCCAAAATAACACCTTTTAAAGCACAACTCAAACGAGAAAGTTAGTTTCCATTTTCAGTTACTTTTCTCCTTTTTAAGATCAAAAGTGGGCAGCTAAAAACAATGTATCTCTCTTACTCAGCTAACTGTCAGCAGATGGTCTACTCACAGTCAAGACGCATTTCAAAATACAGCAGTCTTATTATCCTATCGGCAGCCCGTTCCCAGGTTCTGAGCGGTGGAATTTTAGCTTCCTTCCCTCTCTCTCTTGCAGGTATATATAGTCAAACTTCCCCCCTCTTCTCCTGCTTCCAAAGGGGGGGGGGATTCACTTTCTTTTTAATGTTGAGAAATTAGTCTTTTCCGATCGATTTTCCGAGACTTTAGCTTGCAGTCTCTTTGCTTTGATCTATTTACAAAACTGGAAGGGGGACTTCCTGTTTGAGCCTCCCCGCTTCAGTGCCAAATTAAATCTTTTTTTCCCTTTAAAATCTTCCAATTTATCCTACTCACGGGTAGTTACTTTTAAAATCCAATTGTCCACAGGGAAAAGTCAGCCCTCTCCGGCAACGGCTGTGCGGCTTCGCTCCGTGGAAAAAGCAGTCGATTCACAGCACCGCACCACTCACCCCGCTTTGCTCCGGAGCCCCAAAATCGGGGTTCCCCACGAGTAGGGGGGTCGCAAAAGGTGCCCGCCGAATCCCACGTTCACAGGCTTCACCCGCCTGTGATTTTTGAAGGGTCTCTGCCTTCGCCGTGACGGCCAGACCCGGTTCCCACAGAGCAAATTCCTCCTAGTCAGAGGAATTCCGCCATTACCGATGGCGCTGACCCTGGAAGTAGAATATTCTATCATTTAAATGTATCTACCATCACAGCAATGTTGGACCCTGTGTAGAATGGAAGCAGAGGTAAAGGTAAAGGACCCCTGACAGTCAAGTCCAGTTGCAGATGACTCTGGGGTTGCGGCGCTCATCTTGCTTTACAGGCCAAGGGAGCTGGCATTTGTCCGCAGTTTTTCCGGGTCATGTGGCCAGCATGACTAAGCCGTTTCTGGCACAACAGAACACCGAAACCAGAGCAGCACACGGAAACGCCGTTTACCTTCCCGCCAGAGCAGTACCTATTTTTCTACTTGCACTTTTTGGCATGCTTTTGAACTGCTAGGTTGGCAGGAGCTGGCATCGAGCAACGGGAGGGATTCGAACCACTGACCTTCTGATTGACAAGCCCAAGGCTCAGTGGTTTAGACCACAGTGCCACCTGCAACCCTGTGTAGAATGGAAGCAGAGGAGGGAGACTCAAATGAAGCGGGTGGGCAGGCAGGCTGCCCAAATGAGCTATGGAGAAACTGGCAGGGCAGGGCAGCTCCCTAGAAACTGTCCTGCTCTGCTGTGCAAACCCTCTCCTGATTCATGAAGGGTTTTGCATTGCAAATGCTAAAACCGAGTCTGCTCCCCCCGTTATTTTAGCAGAGGATTCCAATCAAACCTGCAAGGAAATCTCTGCTAAAATGAAGAGGAAAGTTCCTTTTTTGGGAGGTAGGTTTTTAATGCACACCACTCCCTGAATCAGAAAGGGGTGTACATAAAAATCTCTAAAATGCTAAAGTGGAATCAGGCACCACCTACTTGTCAAATTTGGCCCAGGAGAACAATCTAGAAAAAGATCTGGCTCATGGAACCAAAAAGATTTCCCTCTCCTTACTGAATGGGACTGAGTGGGGTTTGGCAAGGTCTATGGGGTGGGATAGACTGGCCTGGTGAGCAACACAATTTTTACCAATAGTGACTGCAATTTCTTTAATGTCCAAATCAGATTTGAATGGAAATGACATGTACTCTACAATTGACTCAATTTTTTGGAAGTCACCAAATCTCTTTTCAAACTCCTGAATAACAGAACCAATTTTGGCCACATACTTTTCTGTTTGAAAAACAAAATCAGGATTTTTTTTCCAGATGGTCCTGCGTATTAGGAAAGTGATCAAAGGTATTGATTGTAAGGTCATCATTAGCTTAAATTTTGTTTTGTAGGATGAAACTATGCTCATCATCCCTCCAATGCATTTACCTTTACCTTGTAGCTCTAGGTTCATATCACCAGTTTACCTGTGAAATCAACAAGGAAAGCCAGATCAAACAACCACTCCTCATCTTCTAACTGAACGTACTCATCTCCTCTCTCCTTCAAAAAGGATATTATTTCTTTCAACAAACTGCAAAATCTTAGCAAAAATTTGTACCTACTGAGCCACCTTACATCTGTGTGTAAAATTACTTCGGGTTGCCACCTTAGAAGTGATCTTCCACGAATTGAATTTACAATTTTAAAAACTACGTCCATGACATTTTTGTGTTCGATCTCTTGCTTGCCAAAACTTGCTGGTGAATGATACAGTGGTATGTAAGGAAGTCAGGGAAATCGCCATGCTGTTAACAAAGGGCAATAAATCCATTAACCCCAAATCTAACTAATCTATTTATTCCAAACCATCCCAATCTGGATTCTCTCAACCCAGAAGTGGCGGGGGGAAAGCTACACTCATTTATTTTCTCACACAAAAAACTAAGAATAAGCCCCAAATACCTGCACAACCTGAAAAAAGAGACAGGGCATATACTTTTGTAAACCAATAAAATCATAAATGAATGTCTTTATTGACTCGCCCAACAACACATCTTTCAACTGGCTTGAGAACGTATGTCCTGCCCTGATTCTTTCAGTTTCTCTAAGGCAGTGGCCGTGAGATGCTGCCAAAGGAAATTTCAAAGGGACTATGGATAATGTGGAGAAATGAAGGGTATTTATTGCTTATCAGTGTAATAAGGACACAAACCCACACAGATTCCTGGGAGTGATAAGAGTATCGCGAGTCAGTCCCAATTTAATCAAACTACAAAGTATTTTTATTGTTCTGTTTAGCTTCCAATACAAAACTCCCTCCCCTCTTTTTTTTTTGTTTTGCTTTATTGATGGTATCCAAGACCATGGTGCATCTTTGAGGTAATGAATACAGCAATAAAGTTAAAACAGGGAGGAGGTGTAATTCCAGACTTGGCTCTTTTCTAAGCTATTTCGTCTTATTTCCTTCCCTTTGCTTCCTCTTATTCAAGGATGCCCTCTGGTGGCAGTTAGTAGGTCCTACCACCCTGTAGTTCTACACCCTCGGCTGATTTATTTTCTTTGCTGGCTCCCCATTTTAATCAATCAAGGAAGTATGCCTGGAACTGGGAAGCAGAGAAAGTGTGCATAACTTCACGCTTCCTGAAACAACGCATAAACTGAAATGCAGGTACCCTTTGCATGCCTCAGAATTTTATGATGCAGTTCTCCAACACAAAAATGCACGTATTAGGAGCAAGTGCAAACAAAATGCAAATATTAACAAAAACAACATAAAAATGCATTAAGGGGACCTGTTTGTGAAATTATGCACACTGATAAAAAGTTTTACTTAAATACTGATTATTTATCATAAGCACTTCTTTAAAAAAATTGCAAAGATGTGTAAATGTGGTGAACTGTGCTAGAGCTTGGGAAAAGGAGGATATGAGGGAAACCCGAAGGGAAAGATTCATCAGCATGCCTTTCAAGTGTTTATTATTATTATTATTATTATTATTATTCCTCCAGTCTACATCTGTACTGGAACTATCTTAACTGCCTTTGAATGCAGAACTGTTTTTAAAGGTTTGTATTATTTTATATATATATATATATATATATATATATATATATATATATAATTGTTTTTACACTTTTATGGTTTTACTGTTCTGTTTTACTTGCTTTCTACTTATATATTTAAGCGTTGCAACCTGTCCTGAGGCCTCAGGTAAAGGGCAGGCACGTGCTCAGTGGACCTGGCACTCTAAAAAGCAGCAAGCGTTCTCTGACATGGAGTCTGTAGCAAAAGGGAGGAAGTAGCTGCAGCGTAGCAAGGCTAAAAGGGGATGCCAGAATAGTAGTGGATTAAAAAACTAATGATGAAAGAGCAGCCAGTGGTGTGGCAAATGGAGAGGGAAAAGCACAGAGGGGGAGGCAAAGGCATACTATGGCACCCTTTTTTCCCAGGCGATCTCCCATCCAAGTACTAACCAGGTCTGACCCTGCTTAGCTTCCAACTTCAGGCATGTTCAGGGTAGTATGGCTGTAGACATTGTGCAAACCTCCCAACATTGCCTCTACGGAAGAGCATAATGAGATATTTATTAAGATTTTCAGAATATTCCAAAATAAAGAAAAAGAAAAAAGAAAAATACAAAATAAAAATGGTTAAAAACAATTCATTCTTTCCATTACTTATCTTTCATTTGCTTATTTCCCGGACCTCCTCGCGCCTCCCTTTTTTGTATTCCAGTTCAATTTATTAGTTCAGCAAATCCCTCCCCTCTTTGTATATCCTAGTCTTTAATCATAAAGTTTTGTAACATTAAATTTTTACCTATTAATAATCCATTTTTTCATATTCCCTTCTAACATTACAGCTAAAGACCACTTAGTTTCTATCCAACATCATTCTAGCATTCATTAATTTTGCAATATTTCTGTAAATAGTCTTTAAACTTTTTCCAGTCTTCTTCCATCAACTCTTCTCTCTGGTACGGAAGAGCATAATGGAAGTCTCTCTCCCCCTCACTCTGCAGTAAAACCGCAGAAAAGGCTACCCCATCCTGTCACATCCTACAGAGCACAGATTTTCTTTCTATTACCCAGATGAACCCACTGCCTGTTCAGACTAGAGTTCAGAAAGTTTGGACAGTTTACACATTAGCCAAAGTCATCCTGTTCCCTCTGGTGAATGCAAACACATTCTTTTTTCAGCAGCCTCCAGCCTGCTACACATTATCTGAGATCTCTACCCCTGTTGCCTTTTTAAAACTTCCCAGAAAATTGCTGATACCCTGAAATGGCAAATTCCAGCTGAACTATTTAAAATCTTTAAAGATGATGCTGTTAAGGTGCTACACTCAATATGCCAGAAGGTTTGGAAAACTCAGCAGTGGCCAGAGGATTGGAGACGATCATTCTACATTGCAATCCCAAAGAAGGGCAGGGCCAAAGAATGCTCCAACTACCACACAATTATGCTCATTTCACAAGCTAGCAAGGTTATGCTTAAAATTCTACAAGGCAGGCTTAAGCAGTATGTGGACCAAGAACTCCCAGAAGTACAAGCTGGATTTCGAAGGGGCAGAGGAACCAGAGACCAAATTGCAAACATGCACTGGATTAAGGAGAAAGCCAGAGAGTTCCAGAAAAATATCTACTTCTGCTTCATTGACTATGCAAAAGCCTTTGACTGTGTCGACCACAGCAAACTATGGCAAGTTCTTAAAGAAATGGGAGTACCTGATCACCTCATCTGTCTCCTGAGAAATTTCTATGTGGGACAAGAAGCTACAGTTAGAACTGGATATGGAACAACTGATTGGTTCAAAATTGGGAAAGGAGTATGACAAGGTTGTTTATTGTCTCCTTGCTTATTTAACTTATATGCAGAATACATCATGTGAAAGGCTGGACTGGATGAATCCCAAACTGGAATTAAGATTGCGGGAAGAAATATCAACAACCTCAGATATGCAGATGACACAACTTTGATGGCAGAAAGTGAGTAATTAAATAAGCTTTTAATGAAGGTGAAAGAGGAGAGCACAAAATATGGTCTGAAGCTCAACATCAAAAGAACTAAGATCATGGCCACTGGTCCCATCACCTCCTGGCAAATAGAAGGGGAAGAAATGGAGGCAGTGAGAGATTTTTCCTTCTTGGGCTCCATGATCACTGCAGATGGTGACAGCAGTCACAAAATTAAAAGATGCCTGCTTCTTGGGAGAAAAGCAATGACAAACCTAGACAGCCTCTTAAAAAGCAGAGATATCACCTTGCCAACAAAGGTCCGTATAGTTAAAGCTATGGTTGTCCCAGTAGTGATATATGGAAGTGAGAGCTGGACCATCAAGAAGGCTGATCACCAAAGAATTGATGCTTTTGAATTCTGGTGCTGGAGGAGACTCTTGAGAGTCCCATGGACTGCAAGAAGATCAAACCTCTCCATTCTTAAGGAAATCAGCCCTGAGTGCTCATTGGAAGGACAGATCCTGAAGCTGAGGCTCCAATACTTTGGCCTCCTCATGAGAAGAGAAGACTTCCTGGAAAAGACCCTGATCTTGGTAAAGATTGAGGGCACAAGGAGAAGGGGACGACAGGGGACGAGATGGTTGGACAGTGTTCTTGAAACTAGCAACATGAATTTGACGAAACTGCAGGAGGCAGTGGAAGACAGGAGTGCCTGGCGTGCTCTGGTCCATGGGGTCACGAAGAGTTGGACATGACAAGATATGTTATCAAATTCAGGCTGTTACTGCCATCTGGTGGCCTAAATGGAATATGCCAAAACATACTTATTCATATTAACACAGTACAGTGGTACTTCGGGTTAAGTACTTAATTCGTTCTGGAGGTCTGTTCTTAAGCTGAAACTGTTCTTAACCTGAGGTACCCCTTTAGCTAATGGGGCCTCCTGCTGCAGCTGCATGATTTCTGTTCTCATCCTGAAGCAAAGTTCTTAACCCGAGGTACTATTTCTGGGTTAGCGGAGTCTGTCACCTGAAGCGTATGTAACCCGAGGTACCACTGTACATACTGGGACTATTATTCAGTGGACCGGGGGCGGGTTGTTTTGCTATTTTTGTTGTTGTTTGCCTTACCTCGCATGCAGTGCTATTTGCATGAGCATTTAGCACATAAAACGCCACTTCTCGAACGGGTAGCATTAGAGCAATAGTTCCTAATCTTCAAAAAGCTGACTCTTCTGAATTAAAATCACACACTTTCTTCTTTACACCCCGCCCCCAAAAGGTTTGCTTTCAGTGTAGAAGAGCTACCCATTCAGAAAGGAGAAAACGGAATCGTTGTAGAGTTGGAAGGGGTCTACAGGGTCATCTAGTCCAACCCCCTGCAATGCAGGAATCTCCAAGGAAGGAGAGTCTACCAGCTTCTGAGGGACTCTCGTTCCAATGTAGAACCACTCTTACTCTCTTCCCCCTTTGGTCCTAGGATACTGCAGACATGGAAAAGGGGGCCATTGGTTGTATTTGGAGTTTGATGAGAAATGGGGAGAGGAAGGCCCCGATCCTTTTCTCGCCCCCCCCCCCCCCGCTTCTCTTTCCCAACGTCCTTTGCGCCCGGCCGATCTCCTTCCTCCCACGAATGGACTACATTTCCCATCGGCCACCGCGGCCTCGGCCTCGGAGTCCGAAGGCTGCATCCGGGCTCCGAGGAAGGCCCAGAGGCCGGGCGGCGATGGCGGCCTCCTGCGCCGAGATCCTGCGGAGGGAGTTCCCGGAACTCGACGGGGAGATGTTCGATTACGTGACCGGTGAGGCTGAGGCGAGGGCGGAGCGGGGGGGCCTGGGCTGCGGGGGGCGCGGCGTCTTTCTCCTCAGCACAGCCGAGACCAGCCGGGCTCCCTCAGCGTGGCTGTCCCCGGCTTCCCTCCGCAAGGCTGAGGTGGCCATGCCGAGGGAAGGCGGGCGGCGGGCGGCGCGAGGAAGCGAAGCGGGTCCTTGGCTCTCCGCTCCTTCTTCGACTCTGGCCTCCCCTCATGTCGGCTGGGTGGGATGCGAGGCCCCTATGCGGGTGTGTGTCATGGGCGTAGCCAGGACTTTGGGGGGGGGGCATGACTTCGTGGGGGGGGGGCACAACCGGCGTAACTGGTCAATTAGTTATTTCTATTGTTTTACTTGATGGGGTGCCCCCCTCTGCCACCACCCCCTTAGCTACACCCATGGTGTGTGTATGTGTGTGTGTGTTATCTGGAACGAAGGTCCCAGGTAATGACACCCATATATCATATATTTCATTCTCATATATATATGTGTGTGTGTTTGTGTGCGCGTGTGCGCGCATATCAATATCCATACATATGTGTGTCTATACATATACACATGCATATACATACACACACACACGCACACACACACAGTAGTCACACGATTGCTCAAACCGCCACAAGGCTTCTTAAAGCTGGAAACATGCTTTATAAAACGTGCCCACCCCCTTGCAAATCTGTCTTTCAATAATAATTTTAAAAACCTTTCTGCATCCCAAGAACCTTTGCTGCTCCTGCACATTGCCTACTCAGAAGTAACTCCTGTTTGGTTCAGTGGGCAATCCAAGGAATCAAGCGCCTTCTCCCCAAATTTGAGCCTAAAGAGAAACTTGTGGTTCAGGCTGAGGGCCTGTCAGCCACCCAGTTTAACAAATCAGCAACGCCACCTACAGTGGTGCCCCGCAAGACGAATGCCTCGCAAGACGAAAAACTCGCTAGACGAAAGAGTTTTCTGTTTTTTGAGTCGTTCCGCAAGACGAATTTCCCTATGGGCTTGCTTCGCAAGACGAAACGTCTTGCGAGTTTGTTTCCTTTTTCTTAAAGCCGCTAAACCGTTAATAGCCGCTAAGCCGCTAATAGCCGCTAAGCCGCTAATAGCCGTGCTTTGCAAGATGAAAAAACCGCAAGACGAAGAGACTTGCGGAACGGATTAATTTCGTCTTGCGAGGCACCACTGTACCTTGTTTGGAAACCAGTCAAGTGACAGATATATATATTTCAATGAGTTAATTGGGCGGGGGGGGTTGAGGGGGTCTCCAAAGGTAACGGCAGACTTGTTGTTAAATGACAGGCAAGAAATTATTATTGCATACTGTACAGTATTTATTTATTTTTCCTTGGGGCTCATGACAGCTTGCATATAAAAATGAGAACCGGCTAAACGAGAACCATGAGGGGAAAATCATTTTAAAAACCAACACTATTAGAAGTAGAATATATATACAGTGGTACCTCGGGTTACATACGCTTCAGGTTACATATGCTTCAGGTTACACACTCCACTAAGCCAGAAATAGTGCTTCAGGTTAAGAACTTTGCTTCAGGATAAGAACAGAAATCGGGCTCCGGTGGCAGCAGGAGGCCCCATTAGCTAAAGTGGTACTTCAGGTTAAGAACAGTTTCAGGTTAAGAATGGACCTCCGGAACCCGAGGTACCACTGTACAAGTAAAGTATATATGGTATAGTAATATATGCATATGTGTGTGTGTGTGTGTGTGTGTGTGTCTGTGTGTGTGTGTTATATGTATATGCTTGGAAAAATCTATTGGAACCATGCAAACAATCATAATTAAAAACAGTACAGCACCAGCCCTTTCATTGAAAGCAGTCAGTTCCTAAAAGCCTGTTTGAACAAAAAAGTCTTCACCTGCCAGCTTCACCATTTTCAGCCTGAGGCGAGCACCCAAGGGCCACATACCAGTGGTGGGGCAGGCCAGAGGCAAAAGTCGGCAGAGCAGAAAATAGATCATGGGCTGCTTATTAACAGGCTTTAGTCTTAGGTCAGTGGTTCAGGATTTCTATCCAACTAGACATGTTTAAAGGAAGCAAACTTTACTCTTATTTATTTCAGTTTCAGCCCTGATCCTAAACATGCTTATGTGGAAATAAGCCCAATAGATTTCAACTGGATTTACATCCAGATAAGTCGTCGTCTTCTTCTTCTTCGGCGATCATAAGTATGCCTAGTGTTGCAGCTTTGATACATCACCTCATCTCTGAAGCCTTGAATCCATTCTTTCCCTGATTGGGACTCAGAGTTCCAGAATGATGAAACATTTTGCCTGTTCTTTATCCTCCTACTTCCTTTCTCCTTTCCTTTCAAGGTCTAGGAAGGTATTTTTCTGGGAAACCATCACAGGGTATGGATCAGCCCAAGGCCCAGAGGCTGCTTCACAAACTGAGGTGTGGTGTGTGGGCAACATTGTATGAGGGAAGAATAAATCGCATGGTTGACCCCACCCCCATTACAAACCACATAGTCAAGATCACACTTGTTTCTCTCTGGATTAAGTAACTTTTCTTTGGTTTCATTTCCCAAGCAGTGTCACAGGAAGGATCATAGAATGATAGAATCGTAGAGTTGGAAGGGACCACGAGGATCATGTAGTTCAACCCCATGCAAATCAGGAATCTTTGGCCCAGAGTGGGGCTCAAACCCATGACCTTAATAAATTGAATTACTGCTTACTAACAGACTTGAGTCTTAGGTCAATGGTTCAGGAGTTCCATTCAGCAAAAGTGTATATCCACCTATGCAAATTTAAGGGAAGCAAACTTTAATCTGCAATACCCAGCTATCCTCTTTCTCTACCCCTTTCAAGTCATGAAGAGTAAATTCTGTGGCCATGTTGTTCAACTAAAATTGTTCTCCCCCAAATAATAATCTGTGAGAAGCTCAGCAACACTGTCTAGGCAGGATAGGATTGGAGAAGCTTAAAGACAGTAAGACCTCCTTCCTCAGGCATTTTCACTGAAAAGGTGAAGAGGGAAGTATTTTACTCATATCCCAGTTGGTTGGGAATTTTCTCTTCCTATCACTGGAAAACTTTGTCCGTAGAACATGAGACTCATAATCTCAGGATCATAGGTTTGAGCCCCACATTCGGCAAAAGATTCCTGAGAATTCTGTGATTCTCTGAGATGAGTGATCATGAAACTCCCCTTGTATTCCCAAGCAACAATTTTGTTGTCTGACAGCATGGTGTGGGAAAGTCATCCAACTAAAGGTTCTTTGGTCATGCAAGAGGTGAAGTAAATGTTTAGTTATTTATTTAAAAGATTTATGAACCACTCACATAAAATATCAGAGTATAAACTATGCGCCAGGTTGGAACGTTGGCCCTATTCTTACTGGTAGCTGACCAAGCCCAAAGGAACGGCAAGGGACTTGGCCATGCATTAACGGTGCCTTGCATTCCTTTCACAGGGGTCCTGCACAGCGGCAGCTCAGACTTTGAGTCAGTGGATGATCTGTTTGAAGCGGTCGGGGAGCTCTTGCAAGATGTGGCCAGAGACTCGAAGGACGATGAGGACATCCGTGCTATCTGCCAGCGGATGTACAACACTCTCCATATGTATGCTCCCTTTGACTGATACTGAGTGGGTGAAGCTGAGAGCAGGCAGAGGGGACCAAACAAATGGCAATAATGCAGCCAGTGGGGATCTAGATTATGCAGAGATTGCAGGGCTCTGGCAGCTCCTGGTTTTAGGCATGTTTCCTTTTCTATTGCTTTCCCAGGGTTTGAGGGCAGGATATTGGACTGTGTGACTGTTGTTTTCATCGTATGAGGCTGTTTCTGTGAGAAGTATTAATAATGACTGAGAGAGAAATTTTTTTTAGGGTCTCTTAGCTAATTATCTTGTGTCTGGCAGGGACAGCGAAAACTCCCAGGGTAGCAGGCAGGTGCTCCTGGATGCTCCCATTCAGCTTTCGAAGATCACAGACAATTATGGTGAGTAGCACTGGCAGAAGGGCCTGTCGCATCTGGGCTCCCCTACTGGATCAGACCAGGGATCCATACAGTGGCTGGCTAGATAGTGGTGCATGAAGGCAGTAGTTTGCCTGCCCCCCTCCCCTGTCCACATGCAACAGGTATACTGTCTTTAGATCTGGCGGTTCTGTTTAGCTGTCATTGGATAGTAGTTGTTGATCAGTCTTCTGCTTAATTTTGATTTTTTTTTAAAAAAATTAAAGCCTCCTAAGCTTATTATAATTCTTTGCTGCAGTAAAATTTGGCTCCTGCAGCCAAACTGGTTTTAAATGTATTTCTCTGTTTTCCTTTGGACCACGTCAGTGAGACTGGGAAGCCCAGGATCTCCATGTTCACTGCCCAGACTTCCACCCCAGAGAGGTCACTGTGGCTTTGCTAATACAGCAGTTTGACTTTACTGCCAAAGGCATACTCCATTGTCTCTCAACAGACAGGTGCCAACAATGCAACAACAATACCAACTACGCTGCTTTATTAAGCAGGGTACAGTGGAGGAAGGGACTGTATTGGTGCTGAAGATCTTTCACTGCTCTCTTGCTTGATTTCAGATTCTGGCTTGGATGTGCTGCCAGGGCTGATGTTGAAGAGAGATCAGAACTCGGTAAGCGAACCAGAGCTGGAGGGTCAGTTGACTCCAAGCTGCTGAGCCAGCTAAGGCTATATTGTTAGGGTAGCAAGGACCCCTTTGCTCTCTAGATCAGGGGTGGCCCACATGGTCCCTCCAGGTGTTGCTGGACTGCAGCTCCCATCATCCCTGACCATTGGCCATGCTTCCTGGGCTGATGAGAATTGAAATTCAACGTTTGGAGGACACCACCTTGCTTACCACTGGCATATTGCATCCTGGCTTCCTCTGTCTCCCTCTGCTCCATTTCAGTCCATATATTCCATTCTGCAGTGTGCTGCAGTTGGGTGGAATGGGAGGTAGCATAACTGTGCTGGGGCGGGGGGCGCAACCTAATCCCAGTGACTCAACCTCTGATGCTTCTTTCTCCCTCGCTTGCACTGCAGATAGTGAATGCCAAGAAGCTGGAGAAAGCAGAGGCTCGCCTCAAAGCAAAGCAGACTAAGAAGCAGGACCGAGATTCTATGAAGTCTGGAAGCCCATTGTGAGTGAAAAGTCTTGTCAACCTTGAGCAGGGAGGGCATGGTTCCTGCTTCTCAGACCCCACGGGAGATTCCTAGGAGGCTGGCAGCAAAAACTTCAAAATTCCTGGAGCTGGATATCGTAGACATGTGCAAAAATTGTGCTGCCAGAGCTGGTTATCTTGCCTTGTATTTTTTGGGTAGACTCAGCTGATCAAAGGTGCTTGCAGAGAGCGCTGTGTGTTGGAGCAACAAGTACCTCACCAAGGGCTTTGCAAGTGCCACCAATCTGCAGTTCTCTTTTTGGCCCAGCTATTAGTTTGGGCGTGGTTTGGTCAAAATGGCTTGGTGGGCCAAATAGGGAGGCTGGTGAGCCAGAGGTTCTCTGCTTCTGGCCTAGAGTCCTTATGCACAGGGTGGAGGAAATACTGACCCAGTGGATGTGCCAGGAGGCAAGGAGACTCTGGGGAAGATAGAGTTGGCTGGCTGCTTTTCAATACAAAATTACATCCTCAGGGTCCTTGGGAGTTTTCCGTCTCTCAAAATACTAGGTCTCAGGGCCACCAAATGAAACTATTCTTCTCCCTATCCACATAGAAAACTACTGTGCCAGGGAGATGGGTTCTAGCCTACATACAAGAATCAAGTTTTCATGGTAGGAGTAAGGCATTCCAAATAATGGGAAGAAATGTTTGCCTTCCCCTGCTTTAATGGTCCCTTTTGTTTGTTGCCTGATGTCAGGGTGCTTGAAGAAGCATCTGCCAGCCAAGCAGCCAGCAAGAAGGAAACTCGTCTCGAGACATCAGGCAAGAACAAATCCTACGATGTACGCATTGAGAACTTCGACGTGTCCTTCGGTGAGCGGTGAGTGCTTGCAGGCTGATGGGCACCCAGAGTTTGTGGGGTAGACATGCCTGTCAGCTGTGAATGGGAACCTCTGAAATGGCAGGTGGTGCTCAGGTTGTTGCCAGGCTTGTCCATGGGGCTGCCTGTATGCAGTTATAGTTTAAAAAACATGATCAATGACTGGAACTGAGCATTGAACATCTTACTAATGCTGAAACAGCCTTTTTCTTGTTGCAATTCAAAGTGCCGGCAGTTATCCTGTTAGAACTCTACCTGGCTTGAGAGCTGGGGAATTTCTATTTTGGTGTCTGTCCGCCTGCCTGTATACTTGGGCAGTCTTTGAAGGCTCTCCTCTGGGTGCCCTTACTGTCTAAAATGATGGGTAGCAACTGAGGACAGGGCCTTTGTGGTAGTGGCTCCCCAATTATGAAATGCTTTCCCCAGAGAGCCTGATCTAGCACCTTTTATAATGTGTCTTTTGTGCTGGGCATAGAGCATTTTATTTTCCAAGGCCTTCAATATCTTTTACCGCTCCTGTTTCTCCTTGCTTTTATCTCTTCTGTTGCTGTTGTGTTATTTGCATGTTATGGCTTTTAGCTATTGCAGGAATGTTTTACACCGAAGGGTGAGGTACACATTTATAAAATAGTATGTTTGGAAGTTGTTGGAAGCTTGGGAGGCCAGGAGGTATTTGACAGAATACTAGCTGTGATGGCTAAGTTCTGCCTCTGTAGTTGAAGGCAGAAGGAAGTCCAGCGCTGGGTGGTGTGATGGCTGGATTTATGCTACTTGTGAGCAGAAACTAAAAGCAAAGCAGTAGAAAGGGGGTGGGGAGAGAGAGAGAGAGAGAGAGAGAGCTTCCTAAGCTAGCCTACTTGTAGCTCTACCCACAAGGTGTTGACACTCTGCCTCATCTGCTTCCCATGCTTTCTGTAGTTTGGGAGGACAGCAACCTGCTTTGTGCAGAGACTCCAATGGGCCGGTAACACTGACTGTTATAAGGGTCTGTGTGTTCTCTCCTTTCAGTGTTCTCCTCACTGGTGCAGACTTGAACCTGGCATATGGCCGGCGATATGGCCTGGTGGGCCGGAACGGGTTGGGCAAAACGACGTTGTTGAAGATGATTGCCAGCAGTAACTTGCGCATACCCTCACACATTAGCATCCTCCATGTGGAGCAGGAAGTGGCGGGGGATGATACGCCAGCCCTGCAGAGCGTGCTAGAGTGCGATACCACCCGCGAGAGTCTGCTGAAGGAGGAGAAGGAGCTGACAGCCCGAGTCAATTCTGGAAGGTAAACCTAGTCTTGATGCTACCTTCCCAAATTTCTTAGCTCAGACATAAGCATCCTCTGGTACCGAGCGGACCTTCTCTTACCACCCAGAAAACTGACACACTGTTCTTATGTCCTGTTTCAGGGGAGAAGGCACTGAAGGCGCTCGACTGTCAGAAATCTATGCCAGGCTAGAAGAGATTGAGGCAGACAAGGCCCCAGCAAGGTAAGATGCCACTCATTTTAGTTGTGGCAAATGCATATCTTCAGCCATTTGCTTAGTTGTCTATTAGATGTCAAAGACAGAAATTTTCTGAATGGCTGCCAGGATTTGGGATGTATGATGTTCTAAACCCTGGCTTTCAAATCCAGTTAGGAGGTGCAGTCCTTTGCCGGGCTTATGTCAGTAGGTTGCTTGATGGGGCACCTGTCAACAACCTCAGGGCTGAGGTGAACACACCATGAATTTGGCTTCTGACCTTGCTGATCTGCCCATAAATTGACCATGATCTGCCCTTGGTGTCCCATGCTGGTCTCCAGCTCTGGTGGAATCGAACAGCTCCAGTCTTCGCCTGTTTACAAAGAGCCAAGCACTTCTCAGCCAGGCGTGCCACAGGGAAGCAGCAGTGGCATAACTTGTGCAACAGGGATGTGTTAGCTGCTCACAAAGCCCCACCACTTGGCCAAGCGAGTCTGGGAGGAGGAGAAGGCTGAGTGCCAGCCACTCTTCTAGCCATGCCTGAGCAGCCACCCACTGAGGCACACTTCTTGCCTGAGGGGTGAGATGGTGGCTGAAGAGGTTGCATGCCAGCCACTCTCCAAGCTGTGCCTCCACCCTCCCTTCAAGACATGCATTTAGGCCTTGGATGTAATTGAAGCAGGATATTAGTATGTTACAGAAAGGGTGCAGGGGTCAGATTCAAGGGCAAGCTGGAACACCTCTCCAACTTTTCTGTTCTCCAACTGCATGTTGGAGTCTTGCTGAGAGGGCCAGGGATTGTATCTCTGCAGTACTGATTACTTTATAATCATTAAAAGAATTACATTTACTTTAAAGGAAATGGGGAGTTGAAACAGTTCCCAGGGTGTGCCTATGTGGGAACCACAAGTGCGCAATCTTGGGGTTCCACTGCAGAAGGAAGGTTGGGTTTAAGTGTCAGGAAATAAATAAATTCTGCCAATTAGACTGGCAGCTTCTGAGGCAGATGTCTGTTAAAACTGCTTGGGTAGGAGAACTGCACAACTGATTATCACATTCAGCTTGAGCTGGTAAAGGTAATATTTTGGTGTGAAGCTTGCTGCTGATCTTCCTTTCTTTCTCTGTCTGTTTACATTTGAGTAAACTCCAGCACTGCATCTCGGATGGGTGTTGTGCCTTTAAATTTATCGTTAACAGTCTTGAGTGCGTTCAGAGCGACATATAGATCTTTCAGCCAATTGGAACTGCAGAACAGTTTCTCTTCATGGGAAATACTTTGTCCCCCAACTTACTGACTTGGTTCAATTATTTATCTTCTCCCTCCCACCCCCCGTGCCACTTTTCAGAGCATCTGTCATTCTTGCTGGGCTGGGATTCAGTGCAAAGATGCAGCAACAGACAACCAAGTAAGTGATCTCTACCAGAGCTTGACTTTTTTCTGCTATGATCTGAGCTGTTGGGAGTCCTAGCTTTTCCTCCTTTCTACCTTAGCAGGTCAGGTGGTTTTTGTGGGTGAGGTGTACATACCAGGTGATGGAAAGCTTGGTAACCACTTGCTTCACATTACAATTTGGGCAGGGGATGTGGGTAGAGAGACAATAGATTGAGCTGGGATGCTTCTAGTTTCCACCTTGTATTGTTGAGAACCGTAAGGCTGCCTGCTGTATCTGTAGGCTGATGGGTGCCCACCTGGCACAGGGAATCTGATGTATGTTCCTTCTTTCCAGAGAGTTTTCAGGTGGTTGGAGAATGAGGCTGGCTTTAGCTCGTGCCCTTTTTGCCAGGTATGTCTTGTTGATGTGCTGTGTTCTTGAATGGTACAAACTCCTGGGCTGAGTGGGAATTGACAACCCAGCAAATCTAAGAGATCTAAACAAAAACAGCTGAAGTTGGATGGGATAGTCATTGTTGGCTTATGCCATCCCACGTTGTAAGAGAAAATGCTTTCAAAACAACTTCATAGTAGCCTTCAAACTGAGCCTTAATATTGATTGTCTGCCTCTCTTTCTTGCTTTCTCCATCCCTTTCTCCTTGTCCTGTTGGTTCTGGTGTTCTCAGGCCTGACCTCCTCCTGCTTGATGGTAAGTATTGTCTGGAGGCAAATGGGGGAGAAGAAAGTGCATACTACACAGTATTCTCCAAATGTGAAATGCAATGTTCCACGTGCTGCTACCCTCAATAAACAGCGTTTCCATGCGCTGCTCTGGTTTCGGTGTTCCGTTGCGCCAGAAGTGGCTTAGTCATGCTGGCCACATGACCCGAAAAAAACTGTCTGTGGACAAACGCCGGCTCCCTCGGCCTGTAAAGCTAGATGAGCGCCGCAACCCCAGAGTCATTCGCGACTGGACTTAACTGTCAGGGGTCCTTTACCTTTAGCTTTTTGACCCTCAACTGTTGGGGTTCCGTTGTTCATTTCCAAGTTGATCTTGCCAAAGTTTACAGTGGTAAACTTGCAGTGGTAAATGAAGCAAACAGGTCGCCTCAAAATGATTGCTTGAAGCTATGGTTTGAAGTTGGCTTTCTAACCATAATTTGAAGGCTAAAAGAGCAAGATTGAAGGAAGATCTAAATTGAGTCCTGGTCCTCTTGCTCTGAATTAATCCAGTCCAGAGCAAGAGGACCATGACACAATTGATCCAATCCAGATCAACTGGCACCATGTTTCTGTTTGGTTCTGTGTTCTAAACATACCGTATTTTTCGCTCTATAACACGCACCAGACCATAACACGCACGTAGTTTTTAGAGGAGGAAAACAAGAAAAAAAATATTCTAAACGAAATAGTGGATATATGATTTTTGTGGTTCATGCTGTGGCCACAGACATGTGATCTGACAGTGAGTTTGGAGTAGCCCAATGCAAAAATCCTGAGGATCCATGTGGATCCATGCTTTGTAACCACGGAGGAGGGAAGGAAGGGGAACCATGGATCCTCTGCTCACGACTGCAGCAGATCCCCCCCGCCACCTGCAGGCATTCGCTCCATAACACGCACAGACATTTCCCCTTACTTTCTAGGAGGAAAAAAGTGAGTGTTATGGTGCAAAAAATACGGTATATTAAAAGTGTCCCTCCATTTTAATAAGCACTCAAAGTTTGTAAGTGGTGGTCTCTGTTGACCCATAAAACAGGAGAAGACCAAATTACTGTTTAGTCCAACTCTTTTCCAGCAAAGCACGTCCATCTATCCCCAGCAGATCTACTTAAGTCCTCTGGGATCTAACAGGTTGATACAAAGACCCTCTTTTGGTCCTAGAAATGTGTTTGGTATTTTGGAATTTCTAGGAGTTTGTTTGTTGTTGTTTTTTAGTTGTTCAGGTTCAGAGCTTTTGCATTGTATGCGGACACTTGCCAGTCCTAAGAGAGATGTGTGACCCTTTGAATTATGGATCTAGCACAGTTGCCTGTAATCAGACCCAAAATATAAGTGAAACCTCTCTACCAAGTTCTCTCAAGGGAAATTTAATTGATGGCACCTTCAGTTCAATGGCGCAGCTAATTTCCTACCATCACTACTGTTGGTTAGCAGATATCCAGGATGTTTTCTCCCCAGTTCTTGGGGTACTTAAGTTGCTTTCATGGGGGACTGAACCCAGGATGCTTAATTGCACAGCATATGCTGTACCACAGAGTTACATCATCACTTTGTCGAAGAACTTCCCTCCTGTTTGGAGAATGGGTGCTTTTTAATTGAACTGCTAAGTCCCTTGCCAAAGAACCTGATTTTTGTTCACTTCCAGAGCCGACCAACATGTTGGACGTGAAGGCTATCATCTGGCTGGAGAACTATTTGCAGGTCTGTTGGAAGCTAAAAGAATATTTTTCCAGATTGTGCTTCTGGTTTGCTTTGGTTTGTTTCCCTTAGCATTTTGATGAAAGGTGGGAAGAGGCTATGGTGAGAAATAGGTTAGGTCCTCCTTGATCTGTCTGAAATTTCCACACTGCTGAGGTTGTCTCTTGGTTGCTGGCTCTTCCAGACATGGCAGTCGACCATCCTGGTCGTGTCCCACGACCGGAATTTCCTGAACGCCGTGGCCACTGACATCATTCACCTCCACTCGCAGCGGCTTGACAGCTATCGTGGCGATTTTGAGAACTTTGTCAAGATCAAAGAAGAGCGGTTGAAGAACCAGCAGCGCGAATATGAGGCTCAGCAACAGTATCGAGAGCACATCCAGGTATGGTTCAGGGAGCAGAGCAGGGTTTAGGGATATAGCCTCACTGTGTGGGTCAATATTAAGAGCCTGTCAGAGGGAGGTCATGTAGATTCATTTTGGACCCATCTCCTGAGCTTAGGGTGGAGATCCTAAAGCCATCTAGATATTGCTAGACTCTCAGCCCCATCCTCCCTGACCACTTCACATTCTCTGGCTGAGGCTGATGGACCACCACAGTTTCTGTCTCCAGTAAAAGTGAAATTCTTTGACCTATGTTGGCATTGTGCAAAATTGCTTTTCACATAATTTGTACTGTGGTTTCCAAATTATTTTGCGTAATTTATTCTGGAATTCCAGGCCACGGGGATAAGTAAGAAGCTGGAGGGTGAATGAAGCCCCACCCACCCTTACCTACCGAATTTGGCCACATGCCTGTGACTTCTGAGATTTCAGCATACAGATTTTCAAGCATGCCTCTGCAGCCCTACGGATTAGAAACTTGCTTTTAAAAAAGAAAGAAGCATGAGATTCTCAAGAGGCCAAATCCTGTGCCCAGCACAATTCTCTACCCTTTTTCTTTGCATGTGGAATTTCAGCATTCAGTACGCAGTACTGCACTCATACCTCGGTTTAGTGAATTTAGGTGAGGGCTGTTAGTTTTCTCTGCACCTAATCAAATAAGGAGTGCACAGCAGATTTAATCAGTTCTTTTTTATTATTCAAATATTCACTATAAATCGTCTCCCCCCCCCCCTTTTAGCATGTAAATCAATGCACAGTGAATTGGTTAAAATTCATATGGTGAATCAGCTCACACATTTTAATCGGGTGACAGCCTAAAATAAATAGAAGATCATTGATGAGAAAGAGAACGTCCTGTGTGCAATGACTCCACTCTGATAACCTCCACATGTGTACATTTTGTGTGATTCTGCTTCAAAGATTAGTTTCCCCTGCAAAGCATTTGAAACCTTTTTTTGCAAGGTCTGGGGTCACAGAGGTGAGATGTTGAGAACTGGGGTGAGATGGAGGAAGACCACTGGAACCCATTTCCACCCCGACTTGCCAATGTTTCTGAGACTTCACTAGGTACGGCCCACAGGCTTACAATCTTCTGTCTAAACTGGAATGAGAAACATGTGAGTGGGTTTTGAATGATATGCCTATGAGTACACAGAATGTGCTCTGTTCCTCAGGTTCAACCCCCACTATACCTGAGGACCCCCGTATTACTTCAGTGGCACCTGCAAGAAAGCAATATGACCTACTTCTTAGGCCTCATTGCATTGCAGAGGGTGCCATCCAGGGCAATGCATTTTTGAAAGTACATCCTGATTAAAATCACCAGGATGCACCTGTAGAAATAAAAGTGGCTAGGGTCCACAAATGAGCCATGTTCTCATGACTGAGACTCTGCAGGAGGCTTCTCCTACCTGAAAGACTCTGATCTTCCCTTCTCTCTCTCTCTCTCTCTTTAAGGTCTTTATTGATAGATTTCGCTATAATGCAAACCGAGCGTCTCAAGTGCAGAGCAAACTCAAACTTCTGGAGAAGCTGTGAGTATCCACCACAGCTGGATTGAGCATTATTTGTCAGGGGTGCACAATCATGTTGGCCCATATTTGCATTGCACGGTTCTACCTGGAGATAGACAACTGCCTTTAAACTTTGGGGTTGCAAAGAGTTTTGTTTTCTTAAGTTATGGGGTGGCACAAAGATGGTGTTAATGAATAAGTGAGTGAGTAATTGTAGGCTCTGCAGATTGCTGTTAGGGCAAGAAGGTAGTATAAAATATTTAAATATATATCTATATATCAATATCAATAAGCAAAATAAATTGACTGGGGTGATAACAGAGGCCTGGAAGTGCAGGGCCCACAAAGTCACCAAGATATCAAAGTTCCTTGGACAAAATTTTCTTTTTGGAATCTTTGCAATTTGTATATAGATTGGAAGCGTAAGAATTCCCCAACCCCCAAAAAATATATTACTGTGTTGAACTTAATGAATCCAGGCCAGCACTCCTGCCTTATTATAAACCAAGTGAGGTGAATCTTTTGCTCTCCAAATGTGCCATCATCCCTGGTCATTGACCATGCTTGCTAGGGCTAGTGGGAGTTGTAGTTCAACAACATCAGGGGGGCCAAAGGTTCCCCACTCTTGTTATTAACAGAGAAAACAGGTTGTTTCTGGAAATCTACAGTGCTTTCCAAACTGAGTTAAGGCCCCATGCTTTGCTGTCTTTGAACTCATAGGCCAGCCTTGCCAGATGTTACTGGGCCCCCATCAGCCCCAGCCAGCATAGTCAATGGCCAGGGATGACTGGAGTGATCATTCAACAACATATGGAGAGCACCAGGTTGAGCAAGGATGGCTTAGATGCGCTTGTCAAGTAGTTAGGAGAACTTTGACTTGAAGAGGATGGGGGCGGGCTGCTTTCACTGATTCCGGTGAGTCCGGAGTAGAGGATGGCTCTTTCCATGGAGGTGCTCTGGTGTGAGTGAGGCCTTCCCTGCTTCTAAATTGCTGTGTCCTCTTTTGTTGCAATGAGTCTGACCTTCTTTTGTCTCTTAGGCCAAAATTGAAACCTGTGGACAAAGACTCTGAAGTGATAATGAAGTAAGTGGCTCTTCACATAAATGAGACAGCTGACTTTTGCAGAGGAGGGTGTAGGAGAGCTGAAAGCTCTCAGCCTCATTAGCCAGAACCATTCTTTTCTTGACCTTCTTGGTCTCGATAAACTCCTCACTTCATGACCACTAAGTCAAGAGTTGGTTGGTCTTGGATACCTTTGTGCGTTTAAGAACTTCTTAGTCAGTGGAAAATCAGCTGTTTTAGGAACTTGCCTGGGACAACATACTGTGTTGCATACTGCAAACGGAAAGTGAAGAGACCTGCCTTCCCCAACCTGGTGCCGCCTGCAGATGTTTTGGACTACAACGCCCATCGTTCCTAACCAGTGGCCATGCTGGTTGGAGCTGATGGGAATTGGTGTCCACTGACATTTGGAGAGCACAAGGTTGGAAAGGCTTCTCCAGACTTCAAATCAAGTTGAAACCTGGTTGGGATGCAATACCATAACATATGGGGAAGATGTTCTCCTTCCTCTTGTTTTCCTGCTCCAGAAGATCTCATGTCCACAGATTGGTTTGAGTTTCTCATTTTGGTTCTTTATTTTTTCGGGGGCTTCAGACTGATTCATACCTCAGGCACCTTCTGCAGAGGGTTCTGTGAAAGGGCTTTTTAAAATGTGGCCTGGATGCAAGTGTCTGGTAACAGGCTCTTTAGAGAGTGCAGATTCTCTGCATGGCATTTCCTGTTCTGCACTTAGAAGCTCCTGCAGTGGACTTCCATTGCCAATGACCCAATGACACAGTGTCTGGGTCTATAGAGAATTCATCTTTTTCACACTGCTGTCTCGCAGATATAGAATCATAGAATTGGAAGGGACACTTCCATTTTTCTCAGATGTTGTGGTGTGGTGGCTCGTGTTCCTGATATGGTCCCTGACCACTAATGCTATAACAGCCCTGATGGCCTGATGGCTAAAGAGATGGAGCTATAAACTGAGAAGTCTCCAGTTTGAATCTTGTTCAGCATGCCTCCACTCCCCACTGCATCTGTTACATGGTGGTAATAATACTGGCCTGCCTTAGGGAGTTATTGTATGGATTGCAATAAGATTCTTTATAATGGTTTATTCCTTGTATGACAATTTCCCATCTAGGCCCTGACCTACTTGGCTTCAGCAAATTGGATGTATTACATGCCATTAGACTGTACCTCTAATAATGTATGAGAGGTGCTTTGAACACAGAAACCACTGTAAGTGCTAAGTATTAGGGTCAGAATAGCGCTAAGAATTCAGTAAAATCTTACAGAAGTGTTTTCCCTGCTGCCCACCACTCTGGTTTGTGCTAATTCCTTTTGGTCTCAGTTTCCTTCTCTTTCCTGCAGGTTCCCAGATGGCTTTGAGAAGTTTTCTCCTCCCATCTTGCAACTGGATGAAGTGGACTTTTACTATGAGCCCAACAACTACATCTTTCGCTCCCTCTCAGTCTCAGCCGACCTGGAGTCCCGCATCTGTGTGGTATGGAGAGGGGTTTTCTCTTTTGATTATCTCTATTGAAGTTTTGAGCAGAGAAATGACAATTAAAAGAGAGGGTGACATTTGATTTCGCGTTATGATGAATGTTCGATCTGTGCAAGGGTTGCAGCTTGCCAGACAGAATGATCCCCTTTTCTTTTCTCTCCCTGCCTCACTTCCCGGCATACTGTTCTAGAAGTTCTCTCTGCGTGCACGCGCGCACACACACCCACACACCCCTGAGCCAATTCCCGGGGGTGTGCAGGAAAAGGAAATGGGAGAAAGCCCCATTGCATACTTGCATAGGGCTTCCGCTAATAGGCATTGTCAGGTGAAACCCTCCCAGAGTTCTGAAGGATGTCCATTCATTTATTCATTCATTGTTTCCTCTAGGTAGGGGAGAATGGAGCTGGCAAGTCTACGATGTTGAAGATCATGATGGGAGACCTGGCACCTGTTGAAGGAATTAGGCATGCTCACAGGTAGCTTCAGCAAAAATAAGGGGGCTTGATAGTGTTATGGGGTGAATGGGTCAAACCACAGAAAGCGGAGTTGTGAATACAACATAGATTCCTGCCAAGCATTTGGGGTATGTGCTTCTGTGTTGCTTTCTGTCTCCAGCAGAGCCTCAGTGATAGTATGAACTGCAAAACATAGATGCCGCAAATTCTGAAATGTGGAGCATAGGGATTTTGAAGCTTTTATTAACAGGAGAAGCAACTTTCTCGTCCCTGTGGTGGGGGAGGAGCCTTTGGAAATGTGGTGGATAGTTCTTGATAAGAACTCAATACATTTGAGGCGCTATCAGAGCCCAAGAGTCCGATTTGCTGTACTTGGCAAAGCTTCTCGTCATCCACCTTAAACCCCTTTTCTCTTTAATGTCTTGTATGATTCCTCCCTTTCATTCATTACATTGACTCTTTATTGGAAGAGAAATAAATCCAAATGATTTAGGAACTGGAGTGATATGTGGGAATTAATATATGAAACCTACTTTCCACTAACTATTTCAGCATACTAATTCAAATAGATTCAGTAAGAGATCATTTGCCTTGGTCATGGGGGGAATTGTGGAAAATGGATCTCCTTTGGTAGCTGAAGGAAAAACAGTCCATTTGTGCTTTTATACTCTCTCCTCGGGGTCAGGCAGCAACATTTTTGTACATAGTGAAAGAATGACATTGTTCCTTCACTTAGGTGGTTTCAGAAATGGGAGGTTGTTGCTGCATAATTGCTTCCTGTAATAACACATTCTCTCCTCGCTCTGGCTTGGCAGGAACCTTAAGATTGGCTATTTTAGCCAGCACCATGTGGATCAGCTGGATCTCAACATCAGTGCCACAGAGCTACTAGCAAAGAAATTTCCAGGTAAGCTGTAGGGATTCCTGTGGAGTTAGTTGGTGACACATGACAAAAATAAGGATGGGTGCAATATAGCCAGATTTGGGAGAAAAGAAATATACCTTCCTGGCCTTCAGCTATCCAGCCTCTAGGAAAACTTATGCTTTATTGGTGATCTACAAGCAGTTCATCCTCCCCACCCCAATATTTCAAAAAGACACATATATGTGCTTTATACTATATCTAGCTTGAGTTAGGAGCTTACTCTCTCTCTTCGTTCAAGTGCATATTGTGTAACTCACCAGATCAGGAAGCCCCAAGTGTCATCTGTTGCCAGATAGTTTCCAAACCCAATTCAAGGTGCTCACATTAGCATTTAAAGCCCTATGTGACTTGAGCCCCAAATTACTGAAATATATCCTCCTCCTCTGCAGATCCACTCTAGGGTTAAGATCAGCAAGGGGGGTGGTCTTGGTAGTTCCATTTCCCCAGCCACTCTGTGCGGCTTCCAACAGAATATAGAAACATAATAAAATGTAGTTTCTATGTCAGGCAGAAACACTCCTCTACCCTGACCTTTGAGACCCAAGGTCCATGTTTTCAGGACCTTATTCCTGTGACAAATTTGTTTTGAACTGTTTTTAATATTGAAATTGTTGGAACCTGCCCTGGGCCCTGATGTTCAAGTGCAGGCAATAGACTGAATTAATAATAACAAATAACAAGAATATTTTCCCCACTGTCCTCCTGAGGTCAGCCACTCAAGAATCCACTTCGCTCTGTAACCAAAAGACACTGTCAAGCTAACCTGCCATCCTTATCCAAGTAATCTGGGGCCTCTTTTTAGCTGTCAACTCCAGTAAAAGCATGGTTCTTTCTGTGAATTTGTGTGCCTTGAATGCCACGCCACTCCTCTAATCCAGTGCTAAAATCAGTGTGTTACTAGGCTACCGTAGTCTCACCAATCCTGGCAGAGCAGCAGTGCTGTGGTCTTAAGAATATAAGAAGCCTGCTGAGTAGGGTCATCTAGTTCAGCAACCTGCTTTTCACTGTGTCCAACCAGATGCCTCTGGGTGGGAGACCCATAAGCAGGCCTTCTTCTGTAGCTGCTCCCTAGCAATGGGTACTCATTAGCGTTGAGAGGATCTGTTCAGCTAACATGCTGGTAAGTGGCAGCTGCTTCATGAATTTTGACACCTTTCGGTATTTGGGTTCCAGGAAAGACAGAGGAGGAGTACCGCCATCAGCTGGGGTGCTATGGAGTCTCTGGCGAGTTAGCAGTTCGTCCTGTTGCCAGCCTGTCTGGAGGCCAGAAAAGCAGAGTGGCTTTTGCTCAGATGACCATGCCTTGGTAACTATGCTCAGATGAGTATGCCCCCCCACCACACCTCTGTTTTCTTTTATAATGACCTCAATCATTGCACAGGAAGGAAGTGCCTTTGTGGCTCGCTTCAGGGATTTCCAACCCAGTGCTACATTCATTGCTTTTTCCTTTTCCTTCCAGCCCCAACTTCTACATTCTGGATGAGCCGACGAACCACCTTGACATGGAGACCATTGAGGCCCTGGCCAAAGCGCTCAACAATTTCCGGGTAAATCTTCCTCCAAGTAGCTGTTTAGTCTTTGTGCAGAAACTGACTTCCTGTCCAGCCGTGCTGCTGGGGACTGATGGGAGTTGTAGTCCAAAACATCTGGTTGGCAAAGGCTGTTTTACGCCATTTAATTGCACTATGAACAGAGCTGAGCAGCTTTGCTGCCCTGTTCCTCGGCAATAAGGGAGACTCTTTTTATTACAACTATATCCCACATTTCAGCCAAAACTGGCTCTCCAAAAAGGAGCTTGCAAGATTTAAAATATGTTGCAAAATCTGCAGAGATAGCAGGAGCCCCAGGTTAGCACCTGAAGCTAGCAGAATGGCTGGGAGAACTGAGGCTGGTACGGCATGCTTTAAGTCTGAAGTTTCTTTGTCCTTCTTGTTCCAGGGTGGTCTGATTCTCGTTTCCCATGACGAGCGTTTCATCCGGTTGGTGTGCCAGGAGCTGTGGGTGTGTGGGAATGGCACTGTGCAGCGCATTGAGGGAGGCTTTGACGAGTACAGAGACATCCTGCAAGAGCAGTTTCGGAAGGAGGGCTTTCTATAAAGCAGGTGCCCAGACTGTGTGCGTCAGCTGTTTGGGAGCGGAGTAAGCCGCCCAGCAACCCCCATCATAACCTGATGGTACAGCAGGGGCTTCGCCTACATCATGTGAACATTAGCTGTGCCTGTTGGGTTAACCCTTCCAACACCCCACCCCGCCCCAGAAGCCAGCACCTGCTGGGGATTGCAGGAGGAGAAAAGCGACCAGAGTTGCCCGTTTTGCTGCTGGATCTGTGCCAAGTCTCTGCTGGGCAGGGACCAAAGGATGGCAGAGAGAGAGGTGGGGAGTGCCCAGTGCTGCTTTATTGGACAGGAGGAGGGGAGGTACCTGCTGCAAGCAATCCCTTCTCTCTCTCCACCTGTCTCCTTGGTAGAATTGAACCTGATGTTCAGTGATGCAATCAGGTGGTTTGTGCGTGTGTAAAATGCTGCTAAATGTTGCACATTGAGTAGCTGCTCAAGGAAAAAGGGTGGAACTCCAAACTTGCCATAGAAATGGGGGGGGGTCTTCCTTCTCCCCCCACCATTCCGCAGTAAAGAGGTCCTGCCTCTTCTTCTAACTGTCAAACACACAATTCAGATCCTCTTAGGAAAGCATTTCTCTCTTCATGGCTTAGCCTTCAGTTCCCCTTTCTATCCTGTGCAGGTGATGCTTTTGTAGGGTGGAAGGCAGGGAGGGGGGTTGTCTCTCCTCCCCGTCTTCACTCTGGGCTGCGATCTTGGAAATAAGGCGAGAGTTCTTCTGGGGTGGAAACACAACAGTTGACCCCACTGTCTGCCAGAAGGTGGTTGGTGGTCTTGGCAGTCCTGTTGTTGGGGCTTTAGTATAAGCCAGCCTTTGCCAAGCTGGTGCCCTGCAGATGTTTTGGACTACAATCCTGGCTATATTCCCAAAACTTATGCTGGGCACTAGATTGGCAAATGGTAGGTAAGCTGCTCAAATGAATGGTCCACACACCTGTCCGGTCTCTGAGCTTCTAACGGTCTAAACTCCATGCAGGACTTCTGTTCTGTCCCAGCTAACACACCGTGTCTTGGTAATTTAAAAAAAAAGATTTTTTTATGTTGCAAGGTAAATTTTCAACGCCCTGATCATCAGCATTGAGGTTGCTCTGTAAATAAAATGGGATCTCTCTGGCATTTTGGAGTTTTGTTTTTTTATTTTCAGCATGTGGAACTCTATTTCCACGCCTATGATGGTTTTGTTTTATTCACAGTATTCACAGCCTGCTCTACATTGAATATTTTCAATTCCAGAACAGGGAACAAAGTAATAAAGATAAGTAGGAAAAGGCAATATACAAACATTACAAAGTCACATAAGCAACAAATGAACAATTATGTCATAAGGCATACAAGCAAAACTACACTGTAGGCAAACATTAAAGTTTTCCAATTTAACTAAATACCAATTTAACTAATTGGGGCGGGGGGACCAAAAGTGGCGGTAAGCCACAGTTGGTGTTTCTCCTTCCCATTTCAGACCAAACTCAGGAGCCACAACAGCAGTTACAGCTGCTAGGGAGGAACATGCAGCTGGAATTGCTGACTTTGCCTGCCAGCCCAAACACTGTCATGAATAGCCTGGGGAGCTATCCTCTTCGTCAAGTGCAGGGGTGAGCTAATTCCATGCAATGCAGAATCTCTTGTAGTGGTTTTTTTCTTCTTAGGAACCAACTTTAATTTAAAAGAATAAACATACAGTATTTCCTCAAATGTAATGTGCACCTTTTTTGGGCCAAATTATGTTGTGAAAATTAAGAGTGCGCATTAGATTTGATGGTGCATTAGATTTGTGTAAATATGGTACTATTCTGTCTCTTGAATTAGGGAAGTTAAAGCAACAAAACAAAACCCCAAAACAACCTTCAGTTGGATGTCTATGTTAAGGCTTAAATGTAAGGTAAAGGGACCCCTGACCATTTGGTCCAGTCGTGACCGACTCTGGGGTTGCGGCACTCATCTCGCTTTATTGGCCGAGGGAGCCGGTGTACAGCTTCTGGGTCATGTGGCCAGCATTGTTTGCTAAAATATTCTAAACGGGATATCTGCATAAGTGAACGGATACATTTTGCCCCTTACATAAATTCTAAACAACTGTGAATAGGCAACATTTAAATATTTGTGGACTACACTTTTTTAAAAGGCAATGTAAAATTTGCCTGAAGAAGGTGGCACCTATACTGTACAAACTAAATTTAGTACCTCCAATGTAAGAAGATGGCCATGGGCCGGGGCCATAATCCCAGAAAGATTTGTTTTCTCTGCCAGGTGGAGAAGAGAGTGGGGAGGTGACTCAGACAACTAGGAGGGGGAGGAAGAGAGGGGAGAGATGAGGAAGACAGGAACGGCAGGGCCCGTGCTGCAAACCTAGTCTGAGGAGACCGCCTCTGCAGGAAGCGTTTATGATGCACCATTTGTCTGCTGTTTCAATGGAGGAGGAGATAAGAAAAGCAAAAAGTGAACTCGGCATCCCCTCCCGAGCCCAAGACTTTCCGCCACCCGCCCTTGGAAAAGGGAAGTCTCTTGGCTGGTTGGCATCCATCTGTTTCGGTAGACAATGGAACAGTGTGCCTTTGGTAGAGATCGATACGGGAGAGAGAAGTTTGATTGCAGCTGGGGCAGATGAAGACATCCAGTTTCTCTGCTACAGATGCACCATGGCGTTTCTTCACTTTGCGCTCCTCCCAGCGATCGTTACTCCTCTGGTCATTGTGGATGCACGACCCGACTGCCCGTCTCCAGGCGCTGCAAAGGATTCGCACACGCTGCGTCGCCGACTTGAGTCACGTTTGCAGACATCCGCGCCCAAAAGATCCATGCATGCCGGCTCCGGTGGAAGCCCCGCGGGGTGGGGGAAGGAAAGCGCTCCTGCGCCAAGAGGCGCAGCGCCGGAGGGAGAAGCTCCACTCCGCCCGGGAGGGCGCCCTCTTCCCGGAAAGCCCGGGGGCAGGAGTCTCCCTCCCAATGTGCGCGCGCTCCCCCCACCATCAAGTAATCGCCACCGCGGGAGGGGGCTGCGCGCCGTCGGGCACGCGCCGCGAGAGTGTTCCCTCGGCGGAAGCTGCTTCTTCCTTCCCCAGGAGGAGCAGGCGGGGCTAAAGGCGAGGGAGGCGGAGCGCCCGCCCCGCAGCCGGCGCCGGTCACCCCTGAGAGGAGGAGAGGAGAGCCGGGTGGCGGCAAAGGGGGACCACCATCGCCGACTCCAGCAGCAGCAGCAGCCCCGCGGCTCTGCTCGCTTCTCGCCGCCCGCGCACAGACGGAGCCGCCGCTCCCGCTAGAACAGCCCTTCCTCGCCCTGCTGCCCCTCGGCCGGGGACCCCGCGGTGCCCGCAGCCCGCCTTCCTGGGCGCGGGGTGGTCAGCCCCAAGCGGAGGACGTCAGCTGGCGTAGCCGCCCCTGCTCTTGCCCCGCTTCTCCCGCCGGAGCAGGAGGCGATGAGCGGCCTCGAGGACTACGCAGGTGGGCGGCGGGGAGGCCGAGGGGTGGGGGGTGGGGAGAGGGGGCGGGCGGCTCCCCTGGGCGCGTGTGGGTCGTGGGGCCTCCCGCTTGGGGGCCAGCTAAGTAACGCCGCGTGTTTTCTCCTCCTTCCCCAGGTGCGAGCCCCGTGCCCAGCCCCGGATCCCCCGGAGGGGACGAGGTGAGTTCCGAGCTCCCAGCGCCGAGCCTCTCTTCCCTTCCCTTCCCTTCCCTTCCCTTCCCTCTGCCCCGGGTGGGGGGGGGGAGGGGGAGAGAGAGCGGCCGGCATCTTACAGCCCGGGGGCAAAGGGGGGGGCGGGTTGGTTGCGGCTTCGGGGCGTTGGGGGAACTTGCTCGAATAAAATAATGGGAGGGGGGCAGGTAAGCCGCTCTACGCATAAGGGATCGCAAGATGCACAGTTTGAATGGCGACGCGCATCAACTTGGCGGGCGGGGGGACTGGCCACCTCGCCACCATTATTTTATTGGGGGCGAGGAGGCGATGGACTTGGTCGCCTTGGAGTTCGTTCCATGGTGCGTTTATATATACATATATATTGGGGGTGTCTTTTTCTCCCGGTAACCTGGCGGTTTCGTTTCCTTCTCCTGAGGGAGATCGCGGCGGGGCGGCGGTTCCGTCAGCTGCCGGCTCGGCGGCCTCTTCGCGAGGCGAAGAGAAGAAATAAATTGTGTGTGTGTGTGTGTGTTGTGTTGGGGGGAGGAGAAGAGAGAATCGAGGGGTTCAGATGAGGAGTTGGGGGCGTTGTTTTATTTATTTGCTTGCTTACTTTCTGAGGCGAGAGCGGCGGCGGCTGGCGGGATCCGGGGCGGGGGAGGTGGCCGCCCGGTTCCCTGAGGAGAGAAGCGCTTCTTTCGGGGCGGAGAGGCGGCTTCCTTGGCTGGTTCCTTTGGCGCGAGGGCGGCTCCGCCTTCCGGAGGTCGGGGGCGGGCAGCGCCGTCCCGCGTTTTCTGGGGCCGGGGCCCTTTCCCCGCTAGGGGCGCGTGGGGCGCCGAGGAGCGGCTGCTTTGGCTTGTTTCTGGGGGGTGTGTGTGTGTGTGTATCCATGTGTGTCTAGTCAGCTGTGGGGAGTTTTTTGGGGGGTGCAAACTGAGGCGCTGCTCCTCTTTCTCTTTTCTGACCCCCTCCCCGTCTTCTCCCGGGACGGTCGCGGCTGCGCAGGCGCCATCTTGGGAGCGATCAGGTGTGTTTTGGGGGGCTGTGTTTGTGTTGCCCCCAAGGAGGCGAGAAGGGGGCATCTTGGAGGGGAAATGCTAGTAAATGTCAGTCACGCATAAGCGGGGGGGGGGCGGCGGCGCGGAGATGAGCCGGCTTGGTTTCTCCCTCACCCCTAACCCCATGTGTTACAAATCACTTATTCTCTATTGCCCCCCTCCCAAAAATAAGGGGGGGGACCCAACTACATACCATAAGGTAAAGGTAAAAAAGGATATACATACCATATCTCCTTTCCCTAATGCTTTTTAGAGGGCGTGCTATGGCACAGCTTGCTGATTTCCTTAAGCACCCTGCGTTGGCTGTTAGTTTTACTTTGAATGTGTGTGTGTGTGAGAGAGAGAGAGAGAGAGAACGAACCTGCGAGATTGAGGTGCAGGGCAGGTGAAGTAAATTGCAGGCTGATGTGTCGCTCAAGGGTGCAGACTTGGTCTTGGCTACCCTGGTGCTTCTTCTGACCCTTGAAAGGGGGGGGGGTCTCCTTGCTCTCAAAAGGAAAAGTTGCTAGGTGGTTCCCAGCCTCTTCTTAGTGTTTTGGCACTGAGTACCGTAAATCTTTCAGCTCTGAGTTTAGGCTTCGTCTGAGTTGTTGTTCTTTAGCCTGAATTGTTGTTGTTGTTTCTTCTACTTCTGTCTATGCTATTCATGGTGATTTGTTGTTGCTTGTGGGCATGGAGGGAGGAGGAGAAGGAATTGTGCCTTGTCTATTATTCAAGATGAAGAACCATTTGAGAAGGGGTGCTCTCCATCCTTGCATTGAATCCAGTTGTGGAAATCTGCCAATCATAATTTTTTGCCTGACTGTTGTAGGGCTTCTACCCCCATCCCCACAGGTGTCTGTGGGAAATACTGTTTGCCAGCTCAGTGCTGCTGTTCATAGCCTTGGGGTGTGGAGAGGCAGCAGCAGAGGGTGTCTTTTAAGGAGCAGGCCTCTGCTTTTGAGTGTCTGCCATGGCATGCTTGGAAGTGGGGGAGGACATCAAAAGCTTATTCCCAGCTCCCTTGTTGTGGCTGGAATTTGATAATCTGTTGCTTCCCTTTGTCTGCAGGGGGAGACTTCATCTTGTTTTGCTTGCTCTGATAGGAGATCCACAGGGAAATATATTCACATTTCCACACTATTATTACCAAGTAGCAGGAGAGGTCCTTAGTTGCTTTCTCTTGAGATCTGTCTGCTGCTGTTCCGAAATCCTACAGGTGGAACCTGCTGTGCTTCTCTTGGGTTTTAAATAAAGAGGTCTGAATGAAAAAATTGTCTTTTATTTCTGTGGCATCCCATCAGATGTCAAGGAAATAAGCAACTATCCTACTTTTAAAAGACATCTGAAGGCAGCCCTGTGTAGGGAAGTTTTTAATGTTTAATGCTGTATTGTATTTTTCATATTCGATTGGGAGTTGCCCAGAGTGGCTGGGGAAACCCAGCCAGATGGGTGGGGTGTAAATAATAAATAATAATAATAATTATGGCTGATGTTTTTAACAACTCTGTGTATATTCCTTCCTATTTTGAATAAGGAGTTGGATATCCTTGTTTTAGTAGCCTTTCCCCTTATGTTGTTGGGAGGTAGGCTATAGTCTTTGCGGGACTTTATGGCAGTGTACATGCAGAAAGTCTCAGGTTTAATCCTTCGCATTACCCAGAAGGGCTGGAGATACTTCTGCCTGAAACCCTAAGAGCCACCTCCAGTCATTGAATACAATACTGAGCTACTCAGAGTCAGGTCAGTGGTCTGGCTGATATACTGCTGCTTCCGAGTCTACAAAGAGCTATGGGGTTTGAGTGTGATACAATGCTGACCAAGGTCATACTGATAAGATTGTACATCTTCGTTTGGAAGGAATAGACACTGGTCAGTGGGTTTGCATGTTGTTCAGGGTTGGTTGTCAAGTATTGTTGGCATCCACCTGTCTCAGGAGACAATGGAGGAGTGTACCTTTTGGGGTGAAGTTAGTCAAACGATTGGAAGGTTGCATTGCCTGCTGTGGCTGTAGAGACTGATGCGAGAGAGACATGTTTTATTGCAGCTAGGGCAGATGAAGGCGTCCGGTTGTGCTGCTGCAGATGCATCATATTGTTTCTTCTTTCTGTACCCGCCCCCAAATTTAATACATTATATAAGGTGCTACTATGGTGGTAAAAAGAATCTATTTGCACTCCAGACTGCCTGCAACTAATTATGCACGACTGCTTTATTTTACTAAATGTATGTAAGGATTGAGTTAAGAGTCTGATCCATTCAACTTTATATTTTTGTAGCCACCACAGAAAAGACAAAGAACTGTAGAAGACTTCAATCAGTTCTGCACTTTTGTGCTAGCTTATGCAGGCTACATCCCATACCCAAAGGAGGTAAGAGAACTTACACTTTAGCAATGTTGGAGCTGGCTATCTACTTTGATTCTCACTTTTCTGTTCTGGGTGTTGGTGACTCATCCCCCCACCCCCCAAAAAACCCCACCTTCCAATCTGAAGGCCCTGAAATCTCATATGGGTTTTCTTTTCCCCTTGTAGAATGAGCCTTGGCTCCACAGAGGCAACATGAGCCCCCAGAACAGCACAGGCAGCACTCAAGACAGTGACAGCTGGGCCTCATCTCAGTGCTGTGATTCCCATGTGCTATCAGATGATGGAGGAATCAGGAACACTACATGCAGAGGGACTGGAAACCTCCTACTGAACTCTGACATTTCCAGTGGCTTCTGTACAGGCCGACCTCTGCAAACCAAGAAGAGGAAGCAGTCAGCAAAGAAGCTCATCTTGGACCGAGTGGTGGATAAGAGGGTGATGCCAATGAACACAAAGGACATTAAGCAGGAAAGGATTGAGCCAAGTAAAGGGACATACCTAGAATCAAGGGAGCTTGAATCCTGTCTCCCAAAGGAAGAGCTCCAGTCCACATCTCTGCTGGAGCAATACATAAAGCAGAAGGAATGGATCCATGGAATGCAAGCAGCTGAGAAGCCTGAGGAACAGAACTCGTGCAAAGAGGAAAGAACCAGCCCTGCCTGTTGGAACACCGTAGAGCAGAACAGTGAGGAAGAACTCAGTAGAGACGGCTCCCAAATCAGTAGTAAGTGTGCAAAAATAGTGAAGCTTTCAAAATGAAGTCAATTGAACATATGAAGCAGCTTCCCTCAGAATGGGATAAATGCACCATCAAGCCCAGTATTGTTTTCTCTGATGCAGCAGCTCTTAAAAGGTCTCAGGCAGAGGTTTTCCCATCACCTTCTACCAGAGAACCTTGTCATTGTAGCTGGAGATGCTAGTGATTTGGCTTGTGCTCTGCAATCCAGCTTTTACTCCTCCCTATTGTCAGCTTTGTGATCCAAGTTTGAGTGTCATCCCCCCCTTCCCCGGTCAGTGGTCTTGTGAGGGGTTGGGCTGTTGAGGGAATGTGAGTTCAAAGACACCTTAAAGTTGGAGTATCACAAAGGAACTGATGAGCTGCAAGGAATTGTTTCAGGAGCTTCTGTCACAGTTGAGTAGTAGAGGCAGGGTCTAGCATACCAGCATAAATGTGGGCACTCCTAGTCATCTGACCTCTCATTTTTCCCTCTTGCAGCTTTGTGTGAGGACTTTGCTGCTGCCTCAGACTCCAAAACCGATGGTGAGTAGATCACCGTATGTTACTACTGCTCTCTTCCAGTAGGGTTGGTGGTGGGAAGAGAGGGCTCCAGTAGTTTTTCGCAATATGTCTCTAATCTGAAAAGTCTAGTAATGTGGGTGCCATGCATGTGTAAAAACTTTATGGGGCCTGTCTTTTAACACTTCGTGCTTTCTCACATGCAGAGGATGATGCCTGGGATCTCATCACTTGCTTCTGCTTAAAGCCTTTTGCTGGGAGACCTATGATAGAGTGCAATGAATGTGCCACTTGGATCCATCTCTCCTGTGCCAAGATACGTAAATCCAATGTGCCTGACATCTTCATCTGCCAACGATGCCGTGATGCAAAGCAGGAGATTCGCCGCTCAAATAGAGCCCGTACCATTCCCCGCAAGCGATTCTGCGACTGACTTTGGCTTGGGGGGTGGCTGGGTTCCCTTTGAACTTGGACTGGATCCCTATTGGCAAGACAATCAAAATGCAGGAGCCTCCCTGAGAAATAAGTGAGGGGGCCCTATGCTTCCAGAAACGTGTGTCTTATTCAAGCCTATTGCAGGTGGGTGGGGCATGCTGTTCTCTACTTGATAGGGCCTGAACTGTGCTTTTGAGATCTCAGGGTTACACTAGAGCAGCAAATGCAAAGGTGCCTGGCAGACACGTGACTGGTTTGGTGGATTCCAGTGCACAATGCACTAAGTCAGCCAGAAGCCTCTTTGACCTTGTGCAAAAAGGGCTCAGTGCCTTTCAACAATCTATGGGAAGCTGGCCTGAAGTTTGTTCTTTTGTGATACAGTAGCTGCTCAGGCTTAAATTTTGTAAGTTTATGGCCACAGGTTTGTTCATGGGTTTTTTTCCTGGTTTTTTTGTTATCCTTTGGCCCTAGATCCAATTATGTCCTGGTTAGTTGAAGCTTCTGAATCCCTTCATGAAGCTAAAGCACATGTTAGAAGAAGGCAGCTAGCTGTCTTCCTGTGCACACACTGCTTGGGAGAGAATCTTCTGCAACTGAAATGGCAGATTCCCATTCTCTGTCATGAACTGCAATGCGGGGCAATTGACATTAAACTTCAGTAATGTGGTCATTGCGCCTAGTTCTAAGGAATCTGCCCTCTTCAGAAACTTAAATACACTGTGCTATTCCCAGTCAGGCTAGTTACCTGAGGTGGGTGGCAATTTTCACTTAATGTAAATATTTTATATACAATTACTTAGAAAACTTCTTGCTGTACCTGCTCCATATTAAACTACCACCCTTCTCTAGACTTCCAGTTGCACTAGTGTCCAATTTGAAGGGAATACAGGAGTTGTGGGGAAAAGACCAAAGCTGATAGCAGTAGAGGTGGTGATGAGTTTACTGCAAAGGCTCTAGAATCTAAAGAGATGGCAGTAGCAGAAGACTTAAGGTATGATGGTGAGCCACACTGAAGAAGCAGATTGGGTCCTGCTTTCATTTCAAGTTGCTCTTTCGTTGCTGAGAATATTTCACCTTGTTGCCATAGGTGAAATGTGGGGCATGCTAAATGGTGACCTGTCTACTATGCAAACCTTTGCTTCTTTTTCTTGGGGCAATCATGCCAGCAAACTATTACTTGTTTTGGAGGACAGGTCTCCCTGCACTCTGTCTATACCAGACCACTGAACCTCTTTTATTTGACCCACGTGCCTTCTTGATCTTACACACACCACCTTATAATTGACAATGCTTGTACGTACAACCCTATTCTCACTGTACAAGGTATTTTCAGTGGCTTGTGATGGGCCTTTTCCTGTGTAGGACAGACTTCTCATCAGGTTGTAGGAATTTAGGGAGCTACTCCATGAATGTCTTACTTCCCCTCTGCCCCCTCAAAGTGTTTACACTTTTATAGGTAGTCACTTTCTATTAAAGATGTAAAGTAGTGTACTGTGGTCTTTGTCCTATGCCAAGTGTTTGGAGTGCTATGTATAGAATAAAAATACTTTTTAATCAGTTATATTGCAGATATTTGACTTCATTGTAACCCAAGTGGAGTGTTTTACATAGTTATATTCTGCTAAGGTGGGGGTGGGTGACTAGAACTCAGCTGGCTTGTGCAACCTTACATGAGTGTATACAGATCAAAACAAAGGTAAAGCCTTAAAAACTACCAAAGTTGGCTGATCGTTTACTTCTCTACCATGATAACGTGTTACCTACAGACTTTACATATGTATTTGTCCAGAAATGCGGTCCTATTAAACTGGATAGAGTTGTAAATTTAAGTTTCAAATTTATCATCTATTTTGTTTACTTAAAACACAACTAACTTAGGAATTTAACTTCTGCAGATTTTCTTAGTGCAACATCCAACATTGTGCAAGCACACATGGTCCTCCTAGTCCCCCTTTGTCTCTCTAGATCTGCTCCAGAAGATTTTGAGGATCCTTTCCTCTTGCAGGCAGAGTTGATTATACACACCTGCATGGATTTAGAGCAAGTGTATACTAGTACAGCTAGGGCACCTGTGAGATGTAGAAAGACCTATTTGATCTTCAACAAGGTAGGTGTGTTTAGAGGGGCAATGTTCAAACTGATCTTGATGGCGGGAAATCCTCTCAGAACTTTTCGTTGTGGTAACCATGATATATGGTAACATTTTAAACTACAGTGGTACCTCGGGTTAAGAACTTAATTTGTTCTGGAGCTCCGTTCTTAACCTGAGGTACTACTTTAGCTAATGGGGCCTCCCGCTGCTGCTGTGCTGCCCACCACACGATTTCTGTTCCCATCCTGAAGCAAAGTTCTTAACCTGAGGTACTATTTCTGGCTTAGCGGAGTCTGTAACCTGAAGCGTCTGTAACCCAAGGTACAACTGTATTTTAAAGGTGAAGACCAATGTGGTTTGAGTTTTGGCATTGTGTAAAAGGCTTTGTCCACAAATCTATCTGGCTAAAGTACAGCTCAACTGCCAAGGCTGCCAATAAAAGCACACAATTCTCTCCCACAAATGTTGAAAATTCTTCAGTGATAGATTATACTGTAGTATGTCACTTTGAGGGAGAGAAAAGCCTGCTTGGTCTTAGTATGCAATCAATGTACAGGACCTTTGCTCTGCAAGATGCAAATCCATCACTAATATATTTAGTTATTGCAACTGCTGTACAAGCGCCTTTCACAGCAAAGGGTGCTTTGTTCACACTAGCACAAGGAGGCTGCTGTGAGATGGTGGTCACAGCAAAAGTATTTTTAACCCCATTCATGGAAAACCTAACAGGTCTCAGGAGGGGTGGGCAATCTTTTTTCTACTTTTTCACTAGGGGGAATGGTTACAGGTCAGTTACAGGTTGCTTTACTGGCCGAGGGAGCCGGCATTTATCTGCAGACAGCTTCCAGGTCATGTGGCCAGCATGACTAAGCCGCTTCTGGTGAACCACAGCAGCACACAGAAACACCCTTTACCTTCCCACTGGAGCGGTACCTATTTATCTACTTGCACTTTGACGTGCTTTCAAACTGCTAGGTTGGCAGGAGCAGGGACCGAGCAACGGGAGCTCACTCAGTTGCGGGGATTTGAACCGCCGACCTTCTGATCATCAAGCCCTAGGCTCCGTAGTTTAACCCACAGTGCCACCCACGCCCCTGCTGAACATCCCACTGAAAGTGCTTTTTCTCTTTTAACAGGCCTCCACCCACCAAAACAAATAACAGATCATGTCTGCCTCTTGACAACTGCAAAAGTCATGTATTTGGTGCTTCCCAGCACTACCATGGTATAAAAACATAGATCATTTTCACAGTAATCCATAGATCACCTGTGCCCACAGGTGCATTCTGCAATTTGTTGTTTTCACCCTTTGTAAAAAAGCACAACTCAAAGATATGTGTCTTGGATCACTTGATGTTCACAACCATTGAATCTGGTTTTTTAAAATTGTGCAGTACTAATGTAAGCTTCATTTGGGGGACTCAAAGGGCAAGGGAATCAAGTTTAAATTCTACTGGCGTGAACTTTTATCCCAACTCCAAATGGAAAAACTAATGGGTGTGAGAATACACACTCTTTTAGGGAAGGGAAGCATAGTAAGGAGAAATGGGTAGAGAAGCGATGGGCTGCTGGTGGTCCCTACAAAGTTCAGCAAGTCTTGATAACCTGTTACTGACCAGTATAAGGAACTGCGCTCTAATCCCATTACTGCCATGGTTAACTCAGGAATGTTCAATGCGAGTTACTTTCATAAGGCCAAGTACACTGGGTTACATGCTACATGCTTCTCCTGGGCAAACATCTAGTGACCATGAAAAAGCCATGCTCATGTGATGTAAAAAGGACCTGTTGGATGAGAAAAGGGCAACCAAAATGATCAAAGGGCTGGAACAACTCCCCTATAAAGAAAGGTTGCAGCGTTTGGAACTGATAGTTTATAAAATTATACATTGAAGTGCATAAAGTTTTTCTCCCCCTAATGAGGCTGATTGTTGGAGGATCCCTAGGGAAGCCAAGAGGGAGAAGATGAGCTCAACAGCATTCACTCACCAAAACAAAGTCTTCTTCAGCAAGACTTGTTCTATACCCTTGATAATTTTGATAAATTCGTCACTAATCATGCTTTCCCCCAATTTATCGGAACAGTCCTTAAACTAGCCTGTAGTTTTCTGCATTGCTTTTTAACATAGCACTGCCTGCTTTATAGTCCTCTGCTATGGAAGCCAATCATGTTTGCTATTGTAACATGTGAAGCACTTTCAACTAGCATTTGAAACACTGCAGGAAACTAGTGTTAAATGATTCTAAGGCAAGCTTTAACAAAATGGTTTTGAATACTTAAAACGTTTTAACTTTGAGTATGCATTACACCCCACCTGGCTCTCTCATCTGATGCCAATTTTCCAGCCACCCCGTTCCTCCTCCCATTAAGACCTCAAATCTGTTGCTCAATGCTTAGGCACCATTTACAAGGCAGGCCTGCCAAATACCAAAAATACAATTTAGAATGACCTGCTAATTGTCCCAGCTTTGTTCTCCTTGTTCAAGTTTTGCATCTACCACAAAACATCCAAAGCAAATGCATTTATTTGGACATGTGTTACATTTTGCGCAGCAGAAGCTGTGATTATACAAAAGCAAACATATCTACAATTTAGGAGACATACAATATGCCCTATTACTGATGCTGAACAACCAAAGCGGTTTTTGTTCTGAACAAAGTTGCAATTCACAAACTGAGATTTTATAAACAAAGCATTACACAATGAACATTTAGTCTTCATTGCTGGTTCTCTAGTGGAGAAGGCCTGGATGTGCTCTCAGTCAACATGGCAACACACCCACCCAAAATAATATTTTTACATTACATGAGAAAAATGAGTACCCCCATCTTCACCATTGGTGAGCATTGAATTTACTTTTTAAGGTCCGATATTCACATTTGTCCAGAAACAGGTTTCATACAATTTGGTGGAACTTATTCCCAAATTAATAGGTGCATTAGCTAGATTTCTGCTCCATCTCCTGTATTCAAGTCCTCTGGCTCTTCAAATATCCAGGTGCCCTTCTCCCCAACACCACTCAGCTTATAACTGTGAATTTCAATGCCGCACAGGCTGGTTTTTAGAAAAGCAAAGCACATGTTCCAAGAAGTACTGTGAATGTCCCGTAAGAGATGTGGGCTCTGTATTGTAAAAAGGAGCAGGAAATCAAAAACCAAAATACCCCAAAACCCAAGCCACAATGCTCTGGTCTCAAAAACTGTATTCCAAGTTTTTCTGGTGGTTGGAAGGCAGCAAAAATAATTTCACAGAACATCCATGCCCAAGTTATATGGGAGCATGGAATCATTAAGGCAGCGGTGCAATTGCCACTTGCATGGAAAGAGCAGATGAAAAGCAAATTTGTGTTTTCCTCCTTCCACATCACCTGCTGCCATTTTATCCTGTTGTTTGGCCCAACCAAGCGAGCACAGGCAGGTGAGATAGCATGGCTGCCACCACCTTTCACAATAGAAGAAATGGCAAGCATGCAGGCTTGCTGTACGCAGCACGCAGCATACTTAATGCAGCTTGCAGAAAGGAATGCACATGACCACAGATCTACTGTTGTCCTGCAGAGCTGATGGGCTATATGCAAGCGGAGTGTGATCGTCAGAGGAAAACAGTGTGTGCAACTGGGGGTGGGTGGTGAGTGGCAGAATGTGCTGTGTACTATAACTATAAAGGATGCATTAAAGGCACAGAAGGGAACTTAACCACTTTGCACTACTGGGCATGAAACCAGAAAGGAGAATCTGTTACAAGGCACATATTTCATGGAGGGTAGGGTGCCAGCACTTCTCAGCACCTTCATTCTTCCTTAGCCCAGGCAGCAGCACTTTTCTTCTCCTCCTGGCAAGGGACTACAGCCTCCACATAGAACTTCTCCAATTTTGATGCGGTCGTCTCCCAGAAAACAGGGTCGAAATCTACAGGGGCAATCGCAGTTTCTTTGTTGGTGTGCACCACCAATTCGCCCTTTGGAAGGCCAGTGACGCCCATCTGGACTTGCAACTGCGTGTAATATTGGTGGTTCTTCTTCAGAGAGTAGGAGTCGCCCACCTTCTCCAGACAGAAGCTTTTGTCCTTGCAAGCTTCCGTCACGGTCCTATCTCTGTGTTTGTAGGGACACTTGACCTCCAGAACCCCTAGCTCTTTCCCGGTATCTGCGTCTTTGATAATCCCGTCGGGGCTGGCAGCCAGCCAAGGTTTCCTTTGGTCAATGAAGAGGCCGCAATTGTCCACCTTCACCGCTTTGTTAACCTTGCTGGACTTGAGCGCCTCATACGCCTGCACCGCTTTCTTCTCGTTGCGGACGCCCCAAGACATGGCCGGGGTCTGCACGCCGGAAGAAGATTCCACCACACGCCTCAGGTACGACTGAGGAATCTCGGAGCTCTTGCCATTCACAAACTTGCTGTTGGCTATCTGGGGAGCTATGGACGCTGTGATGCGGTTTGCACGCTGCTTGTACCATTCGGGGTTAGTGCGCTGGCCCCGGGTTTCTTTCTCTATTTCAGCAACTTTTTCAGCAGAGAGAGGGGAAGGGAAGTGGCTCGCTTTAGCTTGGGATTTGCCCTGAGTTTTGCTAGCCGCCTGTGTCGGCGCTGGGCTGCAAGCAGCAGGACCTACAGAGGCTTCAGTAGCTGCAGCAGGGGACTTTCCTCCTCCTCTTGCTCCTACTGTGGGGGTCTTTGCTCTTGCTCCACGGCCACTCTTTGTGCTTCCCTGCTCGCTGCCAGATGCTGATGTGGACCTTGCCTGGTAACTTTGCCCTGTTCCTCTCGGACTTGTGGCACTGGCTGGCTTTTCAGCCGCCCCCTGTCGGCCACCATGACCCTTCGCAGCAGGAGCACTCTGAGTTCTGCTGCTGGCAGGTACCGTTCTGGATGAGGCAGAAGATCGTGGGGCTGCCGGGGCTGCTTTTGGTGCCGTGGCAGCAGGTTGAGGAGAGGGTACATTGCCAGAGGTATTCCTGGGCTTGCCCATTGCTTCAGGGAGTCACGTTCTGCGGATCTGGGAGGCTGCGGAAAGAGAGAAGGGGAGAGGGAGATTAAAAAGCTTGCAAAAAGACACCTGCCAGACAGCATATAACATATACTTTGAGGTTTAAAATCACATACATGTTGCATGGAACTGGCGGAAATGACTGGCAGAATCCGAGACCAGGGAGAAGAGTCGGTGGAAGAAGATTGGAAAAAATTCAAAGCTTATTTACAGAAATATTCTAAAATTAATGAATGTTAGAAAGATGCTGGAAAGAAGTTATATGACTTTAGTAGAAATATTATAATGAATAGATTGACATTGGGTAAAGATGTACATTTAAGTCTAAAACTGTGTTAAGTTAAATTATGGAACTAAATTTGTGAAAGAGGGAAAGGACTTGCTGGAATATTTAATTGAACTAGAATACAAAAAAGGAGGTGTGAGGAAGTTGAGGAAATAAGCAAATGAAAGATAAGGATATGAAAATATGTGGTTCTTTTGTATGTTTGTTCTTTTTTGGGGTTTTCTTTTTTTTTAATGCTTTTCTTTTCTTTTCTTTTTCTTTTTGTATTGTTGTTTTGTACTACTGTATTTATTTTTGCTTTTGAAGCTTTGTAATTGTTTATTGCTTATAACTTTCTTTTGTTTTTCTTTTCTTTTTTTGCAATGTCTAAACTTCAATAAATATTTTATAAAAAAAATAAAAATCACATACATGTTGAATGGTCACTTTAAAAAGTGAAGGTTCATTATTGTTTCACAAGTTGTGTATGTCTTTAAGGGCCAAGGCAAATAACGAGAGCCAGTCTTACAGTTGTGAAACATAGCAGGTGCTGCTAAGTTAAGTTAATTAAGCTGTACCAGCAATTGGGTGTAGTATATAAGGAGCAGCACCTAGCTCTGTCATTACCCTGGGGGATGGGTTGGTGGTTGGGTCATGTTGGTTGTTGTTATCTTTAGTGTAAAAGGAGTTTTTGTTTTTGCTATTAAAACCTTTTTAAAGTTATTTTGAGTTCCTTGTTATGCATGGTCTCCCCAGCAAGCTCTCTGCTGTGCTACTAAACTGCATATAGCCAACAATACATTTCAGTAATCCTTGTGTGTCAGCCAGGTGCAAAAAATGGCACCCATTTTAGAGATGCTTGAAAATGGAGAAACTTTAGGAGCAAAATGCACCTGGTGCCCTGCTAATTTCAAACTCTGCTTGAGGTGTTTTGGAATATAATCCCAATCAGCTTCTGTCAACAGGGCCAATGGTAAACATGTCAGCAAACATGTGAATCTGAATGTTGAAAACTTTAAATGATACCTGGGGGAATAGTTTATGATCAATCTTTTAAGTCAGCTTCAATTAAACCAGTCAGTCAATACAAAATGTATGGATTTGGAGCACTAAGATGCTTCTCTTTAACTTCCTGTTCAATAAACTTTATTACAAAAGTGTGAGGACAAATGTTTCCAAGCAGGAAAAAACTTTCTGAAAGGTTAACACATTTTTTGTACCATGAGATTCACAGGATTGAGTCAATTTCTTACATTAACTTTTTCAGACTTGAGCACTTAAGATTCTGCCTGGCAGGTTGGAAGACTACTCTGTGGTTTAGTCAGAATTCATGATGAAATCAAATTTTGGCACGCAAGATCCTTCATTTATAGCCTTCAGAACAGCAACAATTAAATTGTTTCCTCCTTCCATAGTCTGAATTCTATCATCTGTCAGATAAGAAATGCCAGCACAATGCTATGCCAACTTTAATCTTTAAGCCTAAAGAGAAAAACCCTAATTTGAGAATGGAATGCAGAATTCACTTGAGTTGTGAGCCAAGTTTCTCAACCATAATGCAGCCTTAAAAGTTTTATTTTGAAAAACTGACCTGTTCTCAGGCCTCTGTGTAAAAACCTGGCCTCTGAGAAGATATTCTTATCCCACTAATTGGAAATGAGCTCACAAGAACCAGCACCTGCATTCTCTAAATGTCTGATGTGTTGAAGGTCAGTGTACCAGCTAGGGGGAAAATTGCTGTGTGTGAAACGGCAGGATCTTAGTATCTAGAAGCTTCCTGATTAGATAGCTGGGGTCGCCCTTGTTGCTGTGCTGTTTAGGATTAAAGACATTCATTTCCTTATCTTTTGCCTCACAACTTTTGTTCTGGACACCTGTCTGGTTCCCTGTTTTCCTCTGGGCTCAACTGCGGTGATGGTTTGTAGGCAAGTTTCTGTTTTGTCTTATAAATCCCAAAGATATTTCTTAACTGCGGTTTACTTGTATTCCTCAGTGGTATACATGTTCTCTTTTTAATGCTAGTATTTAAAAAAAAAAATCAAAAAAATCTACACCATCTATTTTTGTTGTTTCTTTGGCTAAAGCCTTGAGTACTGAATTGAGTTCTTAACTTCTTAAATCATTACCTACTGAACAATTGTGTGAGCTTGAGGGACAGAAAGTCTGATCTTTAAGCTCTTGTCCTTTGAATCTTAAGTGGCATCCAGTAAGGTTCTGGGAGTCTCCTGGCCCAGACTAGTTAAACTTAAGGAGTGGGACAGAATTATACCTTGCAGGGTTTTTAGATTCTGGTTATTTGGCTACTGCTAAATATGAGTTACTCCCCAAGTTTTTGGGTGCTGGTCCTTGACAACTGCTACTTACACAGTTGGTGCTCTTCCACAGATCTTAGCTCTCATAATTTGTTCTGTTCTAGCTTGTGAATGCCTCTTGTGGTCTGAGACCCCAAGGACCCTATGAGGGCTAAGGAGGACTGATCCGGAATAATAATTGGAACAGAGTAGCTTTTTTAAGAATACAGCAGGGAGCTCTTTAGTCTGGCACAGGCCTCATTAATACACACATGCATTTGCTCCAAAGCCTTTTCTCTCTCTTTCCCCCAGGGAAGGAAGATAAACCAGAAGTTATGCATATAGCATGTCTTAATTTCAGCTGGAGAAAAAATTAGCCTGGGGAAGAAGGTGGTAACACAACTTTCAGCAAACTGGGGGTTAACATACACACTTTAGACTGAGTAACACAATTTATCATAAATGCAAGCCAAAAGAAGCAGAGCAAAAATATTAGCAGTCCTGTCTTGAAGGATTTCCATTAAAAACAAGGTATTTGCCTGATTGCTAGTCAACAAAGCCCCATTCTTAAAACAAAATGGTCTTTAGCCTTCTGAAAGACAAACTAGCCTGGGAGGCATCTTTAATCCCATTCCATAACAATAGTGCCATTACAAAGAAGGCCATGCTCTTCATAAATTCAGCTTCCACAGATGGTTCTCAGGGCAGGGTGCCTTCGGGTGACTTATGTCAGGGCACTTACGGGAGGGGCCAAAAATGAAATTCAGCACTTTCAATTGTTCACATACTGGTTTGAACAAATAGTGTTCCAATTGCAGTCTGTGAGCTTCTGGGTTAAAGAGAACCTTTTCTCTGGGTGCATGTTCAAGAAAACTAGAAGGGTTGGTGGTGAAGAAATAAGTTTCTGGTGGATAGATTAAGGGGGGGCTGTAGGCTGTCATACAACAGCTGCTGAATAGGAGTTATTCTACAATATTGTTAAAGGTGAAGGAGGCAGCGTCCTTTGCATCTGGCTAACGGTATTTCTTGCCCAAACAAAAGTTGGGCACTTTCTACAAATGAATCTTTGTACATTATCCAGTGAACAAGGCAATAAATCAATGGAACAAAATGAAGGCAGGTAGTTTGGGGACATTTGCAGAGCAATCCTTTTGTGTGTTTACTCAGAGGCAAATTCAATGGGGCTTACTCCCAAGTGCCCATTCCACGGTGCTAAATACAGGAAATGTGAGGTTTCAAGTTACATAGTGTCTCCTCTCCCAACAAAACTAAAGGGGGGGGGGGAGAGAGAGCACTCACTATAAAATGCACCCTTATATTCTGTGCTCAACAAAACACAAACATTTCTCATATGGTGGGAGAAGGGGAGCAGAGATTATGAGAGAGAAAGGATTTTTTTCTTTTTGTTAGCAAAACTGGAGATTGATTTCGAAAACAGAGCTCCCTTGGAAGCCAAATCAAAGATTTGGTGCACGCTGCTTTACCGCTTCCCTAACAATCAACTTTGTTCATTCATATTCCACTCATATTGCCCAGACTCTGAGCAACCGCGTAAAATAATTAAGAGTTGCATCCAAATTTAGCCATAACCCCCCAAAAACTTGATGCACACGTTACTTTAAATATAGTTTGGGGAAGGTTTGACGTAGCAGCCCTTTTTATGCTGTAGACTTGCCTATGTTAGCTGCAATCTTAAACCTACTTAATTGCAAGTAGACAACACCCCCCCAACCAAAACACAGAGAACGTCAGATATCAGCACTTACTGCACAACAGGAGTCCACAAGCAGCAAACAGATCCTGAATGGAAAACAGCATGCATTCACCGGAGCAGTAAGAAAAAGCCCAAAGGGTAGGATCTGGGAAAAGGAAACTGAATTCGAAACTGCTCTCAGTTCCCGAATTATCGTAGTGACTAAGCAAGCTGATGAGGCATGTCAGGGCACAACACTTTTGCTCTTTGTTCTGGCAGCATGCAAGGGAATAGAAGCAAATCGCCATTTACACCCTTCTTAAAGTTTACACAGATGGCACATCTAGCAGAGGAGGCACGGCTGAAAGGCAACATCTGATTAAAGGCAAAATCCTATCAAAGAACAGCTTTGAGGTCAATTATTAGTAAATGGAAAGAAGGGAATAAGATTTAGAAGTTTGAGGCAAGAGCAGCTTTGCTGGAGCAGACAGTCTTCTCTATCCAGTCCAGTAATCTGTTTACCACACTGGCCAATCAGATGCCCTCTGAGAAGACAGAAAGGCAAAAGCATTAGGGGACATACTACCCCTGAACATGGAGGCTCCATTTAGTCATCATCATCATCTTCCGCGATCACAATAGCAGTAAAGAAACTTATCCTCCATCAGTTTGTCTAATCTTCCCACCCACCTTTCTAAGCTGGCCATCATCCCATCCTGAGGAAGTGAGTTCCACTGGAGCAGTAGGCTGTATGAGAAACCTTGGTTGGTTTTTCTGAATCAGATGCTAATGTTGTAAGAATTTTAAGGTCTTAGATATGATAAATGTTCATAAATGTACCAAGCAAACACGTACATAAATATAAAAACCACATGTCTGAAGCAGCACAGGAAGACAGTCCTGAAACCATTTTAACTCCCAAACTGATCAAATGTTTCACTGCAAGGGGGGCGGAAATGGAAAAAAAAACCTGCCTATTGTCTCAGGAATTAAGTAATTACCATTTCAAAGGAAGGGCCAGGCTACCAGAAAAGGCAATCCGATAAGGCAACCTGGCAGACAGGAAAAACAACAACATTCAAATTTCTGTTGTAGACCGCCTTTTCTGTGATGTAGGTATGATGTTTGTGAGGGGTGGTCTTGGGTTACACCCCTTCTGGAGCTCCATGGCAGGGAATTTCAAAATGGATACAATAAGGCCTTGCACGCCATTGTTCAAGGTCCTCATCCTCCTGTTGCAACAGTTTAATAAAGATCAGGCTTACTAGCTGCTTTGCTTCTCAATATTCTCTGGTTGGCCTCTGTTCTTTTCTCCTACCGATAGGGAACCCATGTAAGGACTCTATATGGGCTCTTGGGTACCCCATAAGGGAAAAAGGGCAGATTTTGTTTACAACACTAATCAACTTCATAGGGAGACTTCTAGGTTTTCTTTTTAAAAAGAACAAACAACCACAAGCCACCCCCTTCTGTCCTCCATGAAGTAATTTTATAATTAATTTTATAAAACAGTATTATATCACCAACCGTACTCAACTCTTTATTTTTCTTACCAAAAGAAGTAACAAGCAAGCATTTCCTGTAGGACACACAGACCAGCCCTGATATTTGGGCTGCTATTTTCTGCAACTTCTCCAGCTCTAAAATATCCTTAAAGATAGGAAGGGTGCCAAACTATACACAATACTACAAATACAGTCATTCTTTAATTTTTTATTTTTTTTTACTGTTACTGCATGTGACCAAAGCACACAGCTGAAACTCTTTGAGCTGAATCACTCCCCACAACCCCAGTAAGCTCCAAAATTCCAGAACACTGCAGGAAAGAGAGCAACGTAAACCAATTTATTAGCTAAAGCAAGGATTCCCAAACCGTAGAGTACTAGTGGTCTGCAAGCCTCAATATTCATATTGATTTTAATTGCATTTTTATCACTTTTCCAATATTCATACTGTATTTTATTGTATTGATCTGAATTCTATGGAATGCAAATCGTAATAGAATTAAAACACATTAAAAGAAATAAAAGCAGTAATAATACAATTAAAAAATCAAACTGCATCTGTCACAGCACATTACAAATGCCCACAACTAGCAAAAAAAAGCCATTTAAGTGATGTGCCATGGCTACCAGCAATTTTCAAGTGGTCTGTTGCAGAAGTTTGGGAGCCACTGAGTGAAAGCACGTGGGGCCGCCTTTTAGGTCAAATCTCTCCGAAACCAGCTCACAATAGGAAGTTGTTTAGGGAAGTTTTTAATGTTTGATGTTTTGTCGTGTTTTTAATATTCTTTTGGGAGCCGCCCAGAGTGGCTGGGGAAACCAATTATTATTATTATTAGCTTCACATGCATAGCAAGGACATTATACTACTAAGAGATTTACATACAGTGCAGACCCCTTGCAATGCTTTGAAATGATCCGAGACTCAAATGATCTTTCTTTCACCCATCATTGTGAGCCACTCCGCAGTGCCCCTTCAGCAGAGATGTTTATTCGTGTAGCCAAAACCCTTATAAGGAAAATTAACAAAAATAAAATAAAATACACACTTAATTTCTCTGTCAAGCAAAAAAATTGATCCGCTGAAGAACTCAACTTACTCATCCCCACACTTTTCTCCTTGAGGGCAAAACAGGCCACCTTTTCAGAAAAAAAGACGTGTGTCACGTGTTTCTTTGCAATGAGAACTCCCACATATGCATTTATACCTCTTTGCAGCGAGAACTCCCACCTTCTGAAAATCATATATATATATATGTTTTGCAATAGGAACCCCCACCTTTTCAACACACACATTGTTATTTCTTTGCAACAAGAATTCCCACCTTTTCAGAAAATTATATATATTCTTTGCAACAGTAACGCCCACCTTTTAAGATATATACTGTATTTATATCTACAACCAAAACTCCTTCCTAGAGGCTAAATCAAAAAGCGCGCGCTCTTCCACCACGTGCGCAATAATCTTTTACCTACCCGGGGCGCGCTTCCAGTCTCCGATGAGCCTCGTTTCCGGCAGCAACCCGAGACTGGTAAGCCTCCGGCTGTCGCTCCCAGAACCCGCGTCGGAGATGAGGAATGCCCGCCAGGGCCCCGCCCACAGGCGGAGGAGGGTGGGGCGGGAACCTGCACATGCGCAAAAAGGAACGGGTCGGGGCCGCCTCTGGTTTCGTGCGTGCGCGCGCGCGCGCGCGCCGCCAACCTGGGGACGTTCGAGGCGCGTTTGGGCGGGAATTCGGGAGCAACGGGCGCGATTTGGCGGTTATTTCCTCTCAAGGAAGCGGTCAGAGGCGCGGTGGTTCATGGACAGTGGCTTGTGGTTCATTCTCCTCACGTTTCGAAATAGGGCAGCGACGACAGAAGGAATCCCAATGGAAAGGGGCCTTAAAGGCACAAAAACTTGAAATATGCCGCTATTTTTATTATTTGTTGTATTCGTTTCACACAAAAAAATTATACACGGCTTATATACACGACCCTCAAAAGAGGTTTACGGGAGATAAAACAGGAAAATCAAGAAAAAATTCGCAGCCATACTTTTTAAATACGTTAAATTACTCAGGTTAAAATTTAGAGATGTTTCTCACTTTTTTTATTTTTAAAAAAGCAAGTTATGCCTGTGCGCCTCTTTGGGAGGAGGGCATTGCCCTGAAAGAAGGCAAAGAAATATTTGAAATAAAAAATTCTGAGGAACGTGGGACGGTTGGGTCTCCACTACTGCTAACTATGGAAACACAAGCACAGTTTGCCCAGCAAAGGGCATTCCACAAGGGCTGAGCTGCTTCTCACGGGGTAGATCCCTGGAAGAGAAGGAGAGGTATGTTGCACAAGAACAGGGCCATCCTTAATGTATTGATCTGTAAGCTCTAGGAATGTATGCGGTGATAACTGAAGGGTGTATGCCTTATTTTAATTGTCAGTTTATGGGTTATGATTTGTATGTGAGAAATGCCTTCAGTCAGAAGTCAAGCAAAAGGAAGTGGGAAGCTCAATGTGCCACACATGCTGCAATGCATTTCAAATGTGCCTGGTTGTGTGTACAGTGGTACCTCGGGTTAAGAACTTAATTCGTTCTGGAGGTCCGTTCTTAACCTAAAACTGTTCTTAACCTGAGGTACCACTTTAGCTAATGGGGCCTCCTGCTGCCGCCGCGCCACCGCCAAACAATTTCTGTTCTCCTCCTGAAGTAAAGTTCTTAACCCGAGGTACTATTTCTGGGTTAGCAGAGTCTGTAACCTGAAGCATCTGTAACCCGAGGTACCGCTGTACACTTACTTGATTATACGCATGCAATTCAAGTATGTGCTGGATTATAAATATTAAAACCAACTACTCGTGCTGTAAATGCACATTAGATTGCACAGTTGGAAATTAAAGTTGGTACTTTATTCAGCTAAGTTTTGCTCAGAGGCCTAGATTCAGATAATGAGTCCCACTGGGAAACTTCCCATTCCACCCCAAACCGGCTGTGGGGTGGTGGTGGTTGGGAGAACCCCTAGAACAGCACACAGGGGTAGGAGACGGGGGGTGTGGTTCTGTCTGGCAAGTCGAAATGCTTGCACTGATGAAACAATTACCCTAGCACTATATTCCTTCCACTGTATACCCATTGAAATCAACATGACTTAGGTCCATTTGTTTTAGTGGGTCTACTCTGAGTAAAACTTAGCTGAATACCACCCAAACAGTGCCAGCCAGGGTTACCTGCCTTTTCCCAGTTGCCACTCACAGGCTGCTGTCTTGTTTAAGCTTATTTGGGAGTAGGCCTCCATTTAACCCAGTACGGTACTGTAGTATGTACTATTGAATAAAAATACATAGATTGCTCTAAAAATGCCTTGTGGAGAAGATGTATTTTTCTTGAATTACTGAAGCTAATCTGGCACAGCTAAGGCTTCAGAAAGAAACATGGTCGCTAGAACATGCAGGTGAGTGACAGCACTATCCCAAGCACAGGATGCTATCCTACACTGAATCTGACCCTTGGTCCATCTAGCTCAGGACTGTATGCACTGACTGGCAACAGCTCTCCAGGGGTTTAGACTGAAGGCATAGCCAGGTTTTTTGTTGTGGGGAGGCAGAACTTCAGTTTGCTATGTATTTTATTTTTTTAAATTGATGGAGGGGCAGCTGCTCCTCCCTGCGCCCCCCTTGGCTACGCCCATGGTTTTAGTTGACCCTGAGCACCTGCATGCAAAGAAAAAAGTCCCATATAAAAGTAGCCATATTTAGGCTTCCTAAATGTTGGATGTCTCACATCAAACCTTCACAGCTTCCCTGTTGATGCTATTTCCTTCAAACTGGTTAATTTTTTTTGGTAAGCCACCTTGCGGGAGTTGGTAGTAGAAAGGTAAGATGTAATATATTATTGACATGTCTAATATTCAGTTCTACTGGCTGTTTATGTCTACAGGGAAGAGTCATCACTCAGTAATAAAAGACTTGCTGTGAGAAACTATGGAGAGTGGCTGGCAGTTGGAGCACCCTAGACTACACTAGGTGGATCAGTGACTTGACTCGGTAAGTGTATAAATTTATAAATCAAATCAGGTCTGTTCTGCTCACCTCAAGTTATGATTACAACTGGAACGTATGCTCTTCTGAGCGTTGAAAGAATGGTATAGCCAGAGACATAATATGCACCTTTGTTATCCATGAAAATCTTTTAATAAAAACAAATTTAAAAAACAAAACAAAATATCATCACAAAAAAGTGCAAAATATCCTACTTCATTCATTCTCAATGTTAGATAGATAGATAATTTATTATGGTCAGAGACCAGCTTATAAAACACACTTGGGGGTACAGTCACAAAGGAAAACAAACAATTAAAACATTGTACAACAATAAATTTAAAAACAATGTACAACAATAAACTACTGCAGGGAGCTGACCCAGAGTCACCCATAGAACGGAGTTTGGGGATTTTCTTAACAAACTGGTTCGAGTTGGGAGATGGTCTGCGCCTACAGATCTGTACACAGAATCTAGTGACCATCCAGGTCATCTTCTGATCTTTGCCTAACAGGAAAAGGTCAAATTTTTGCTTTTCCAGGAGGTCAGCGAGCCTCACCAGTAGGGGATCAATGGTCTTACTACGTGCCTCTTCATAAAAAGGACATTTAAAGAACAAGTGCTCTGGGCTTCCTATCTCCCCCAGTGAACAGGTGCAAAGTCTCTGAGCGTATGGGACTTTTTTAAAGGCTCCTTCCAGGACCGGCGAGGGCAGGGCCGAGCTTCTGGCGAGTGTAAAGGCCCTTCTTGCATTTTTAGATACGAGAAAGAAGAGATACGCTGCCGGTGCAGCTTTATCTCTCTCTGTTTCTCCAGTTTTATAGTCGGGGCACCTTGAGCAGTCCCATTGTCTCTCGGTGTCTATGATTCTTTTCCTGATCATAGCTTTTGCCTGGCCCAACCCCAGGCTTAGAAAGGCTTGAGGGGCAAAACCCAGTTTCTGAAGGGTGTTCAGGACTGCTGTCTGCCAGCCTGACTGGAACTGGTCGCAGAGGATCAGTGGGGCTATTCCTCGGGGGAGCAGATTCAATGTCAGCCATTTGTGGATTGATGTTAGGCAGATATAAGCCTCCACTCTCATCATCCCCGTTTCTAGTCTGACCCATGCGTTTGAAACGCATCTGGGGACTTGTAGGAGAGCTCTAAGGAGTTTGGATTGAACTCTCTCAAGAGGGGAGAAAGCAGAGGAAGGCGGCCCCAGAAAGGATCCATAAAGGAGCTGTGCCAATGTTTTGGCCTTGTATAATTTTAGAGCCGCGGGGACGAAAAAGCCCCCTTGTGCTCTGAAAAATTTAAGAATACAATTTGCGGGTTTTTCCGCTGAGCTCCCAATGGAGTTTATGTGAAGTCTGTTGGTTCCTGAGGCCTGTACCACCATTCCTAGATACTTATGATTTGTGACTTGTTCTAATTTATGGCCTTGGAGTTCCCAGCTTCTAAGCGTTGCTTTTTTCTCAATTTCTTTTTCACCCATGCCCAGTTTTAGCTAACATAAAAATCATATGCCTCCTTCAAACCTGTCTACCCTAGTTAGATTACTAGATTTTTCAAATAGATTAAAATTTTGTGGCATGTGAGAATTCTACCACTGAACCACCAATGCTTTGACTTTTTAAAAAACAAAAACTAATATTGTACATACTTTTTGGAAGCACACATGCCTCCTTAGTTCATCATGTGCAAACCTTTAATACACTGGATGTGGCGTTTGCCCATTCATTTAGAAAATGTTTGAACAGGAGGGAGAGATAGGGTTAAAAATAGAGACCAATAGGAAAGCCGGAGGCGGAGCCTACCTGTGTATAAAAGGGCTTAGCCTGAGGTTTGAGGAGTTGTTGTTGTTGGAGTTGTTGGTGGGTAGTTGGTTGGTTTTAGTGGGTTGGCTGGCTGGGAAAGGCAGTTGGAGAAGCAGTTGGTAATAGAGAGACAGTTAGGGCAGTGGGTTCTTGCGTGAGAGGAGGTAGAAGAGCTAGAGAGAGGAAAATAAGACTAAGAAAGTAAAGAGTAACAACGTTTGGAATGCCAGAAAACTTTGTTTGTGTCTGAAATAAAATACACTCTTCTTTATTAATTGAGAACCTGACTGAGGCTGAAGTGATTTTACCGGGGAGGACCTGGTTGGTGGCAGCGGATTAGTGGTGTACGGGTCAATAGTCCGTGAGACGACCGGGGGCTCTGTATGAACGCTACACTATTCTACTTGATAGGGGAGAATATGTCTTAAATGGACAAACCATGCCTTCCATATAACATACACATTTATGATTTAAACTATTAAAGGTCTGCTTAAAGACAAGCTACAATAGACACCTACGATTTGTGAATTGTTTCTATAGCAGCTGGATATTATAAGAACTATTATTTATGAATTGGTGCCTCAGTTTGTTTTTTCACGTTCTTTACCTTTTCATTTGTGGGTGGGTGGGTTTTGATTTTTTTTTAAGCATGTGGCATTGGCAAGCTGTTCTGGGTGCCTTATTGGCTGAAGACCAGGGTACAAATGCTCAAAATAATATTAAGCAAGCAGGACAATACAGACATAACTGAATTTGTAAAACAATCTAATTTGAAATTAGGTATTTGAAAGTGGAACCCCTAGCTGTATGTTGTACTGTATGTTGTTCAATATTCTAGCTACCAATTCAGCAATGACAATTTATATAATACTTCCATTCACCCTACTGATTGACTTCCTGCTTTTACCTGAATATTTGGGAAGCATTAATTGCTTACAGAACAGAATTGCTCATTCTGTTCTGTAAGGTTTTTCTGCCTTTCACCCCATACAGTATTCTTCTTCTTAAAGATTCCTGATCCAGGGCCATCTTTGAGGGTTTCCAAAGCCTGCTAATACCTCATTTTTGTGTAGAATGAGCCATTATGGTTACACATTGAACTGTACTCTGAACACCTAAGATATACATATCACTTGAAAATTTCAAGATACTGTAGTTTGGAAAAACCAAATAAAACTTAGCATACAAATCATACCAAAAAATAGAAGTTTATAACATAAAAATATTTATTATGAAAAGCAAAATTTCTAAAGCAGACACATAAAACTTGAAAAAAGCAAAGCACTCGTAGCAGAAGACTCTGGAGATAAAACTAAGCATGCAGCAACAAAGAGTGGAGGATGTCCTACGGTAAGAGAAAAGCAGGAGGAAGGCTAAACAACTTTGTATAGAAGGACTTGGGGCGAGGGAGAAGGGTTGCTCAAGGCGGTTTGCAAGCATTTAAAGTTACAGCTCAGCTGAAATCTTTCAAGAGGCAGTAACTCCTGGACATCAAGTGCTCCAGAGGAGAGCTGCAAGCGGAATGCATCTGCAGGCTGTTCAGTTGAATTGCATTCAAAGACAGCCACGAATGGACAGGAGCTACGCAAGGCGAAAGCTGCGTGGGGAAAGCATCCAGGGCCTCGGGGAGGCGCTTTCCCTGCGCTCTTGCTTAAAGGCTGGGTTCGGAGGCTGGTACAGCGTCTACGGCCATACTACCCTGAACACGCCCGATCTCGTCTGATCTCGGAAGCTAAGCAGGGTCAGGCCTGGTTAGTACTTGGATGGGAGACCGCCTGGGAATACCGGGTGCCGTAGGCTAGTGCCTCCGTGTGCCGCTCAGCGGCCCCGCTTTCAACTCTGCCCCTCCCCTTGCCGCCCATTTCATGCCAGGCGCTGCGGCCTGCTCTGTCGATCTTTCCTTTCACTTGCTTTCCTTCTGACCTGCCCCTTTCAAACCTGCTTGCACGTGGAAAGCATCCAGGGCCCAAAATGAGCTACTACGCCGAGAATTGCTAGGCCAGAGGCTGACCGCCGACAAATGTGCTTTCACCACCGCTGGAGAGCGCCAGCTGCTGGACATCAAGTGCTCCAGAGGAGAGCTGCAAGCGGAATGCATCTGCAGGCTGTTCAGTTGAATTGCATTCAAAGACAGCCACGAATGGACAGGAGCTACGCAAGGCGAAAGCTGCGTGGGGAAAGCATCCAGCGCCTCGGGGAGGCGCTTTCCCTGCGCTCTTGCTTAAAGGCTGGGTTCGGAGGCTGGTACAGCGTCTACGGCCATACTACCCTGAACACGCCCGATCTCGTCTGATCTCGGAAGCTAAGCAGGGTCAGGCCTGGTTAGTACTTGGATGGGAGACCGCCTGGGAATACCGGGTGCCGTAGGCTTTGCCTCCTTTTGCCGCTCAGCGGCCCCGCTTTCAACTCTGCCCCTCCCCTTGCCGCCCATTTCATGCCAGGCGCTGCGGCCTGCTCTTTCGATCTTTCCTTTCACTTGCTTTCCTTCTGACCTGCCCCTTTCAAACCTGCTTGCACGTGGAAAGCATCCAGGGCCCAAAATGAGCTACTACGCCGAGAATTGCTAGGCCAGAGGCTGACCGCCGACAAATGTGCTTTCACCACCGCTGGAGAGCGCCAGCTGCTGGACATCAAGTGCTCCAGAGGAGAGCTGCAAGCGGAATGCATCTGCAGGCTGTTCAGTTGAATTGCATTCAAAGACAGCCACGAATGGACAGGAGCTACGCAAGGCGAAAGCTGCGTGGGGAAAGCATCCAGGGCCTCGGGGAGGCGCTTTCCCTGCGCTCTTGCTTAAAGGCTGGGTTCGGAGGCTGGTACAGCGTCTACGGCCATACTACCCTGAACACGCCCGATCTCGTCTGATCTCGGAAGCTAAGCAGGGTCAGGCCTGGTTAGTACTTGGATGGGAGACCGCCTGGGAATACCGGGTGCCGTAGGCTTTGCCTCCTTTTGC